TGAATGGTTTTAAGAGTACTTTATAATAATTTTTTTTAATTTGTTTAAATAAAAAGGTTTTTATTTATAAAAAATAAAAAAAAATTTTTTTTTTTAATTATAAATGTTACGTACCCTTAAAATTATTTAACTTGTATTTCAAATATTTTTTTCTATCTTTTATAATTCGCTTCGAAATAATGTGTAATCGATTTTTTTAAGAGGGGCGTTTCTTTAGAAGTACGAACAGGCACATATAAAAAAATACGTTCCTTATATTTTTGTTTCGAAAACAACATGTTCGAAACCCATCAAAATTGGAAGAAGACATTTCGGCGCCGTTCTTCCGAAACGAGCTTTTTACGTGTTTTACGTCTCGAGATTACCATTCAGTAAATTATCTCACAATCACATATATCGTGACAATTAAAAATCAATTAGTTAATACGTCAGCGTAAAGCCCATATCAGACTACGCATTGAAAATTAAAAATTGCCAATTAAAAATTAAAATTTGACTTATTAGATAATTTTAATTTTAATCCGTTCAATTTTAATTTTTACTTTACAATCCTCAATCGCCAATGTATAATCTGATAAGTTTCAAAATTGGGCATTATGTTATTTAAATTGTGTTCGAAATTTCGTGAAAAGTTGTCGGACGAGAAATTAATTCTATTATTAACAAAAATTTGTATTATTTAATACTTTAGCAACCCGTAAAAAAATATATATTTTTGAAACATTAAATGAATATAATATCCTTCAGACTCACTAAAGTTTTTTTGTTATCAATTTTAGAAGACTTGAAAAAATTTTCAATTAGATTATATAAAACATTGTAACATTTGAATAGCTTATGTTAATATATGTATTTATTAGGTGTTGGAATTAATTCGTAGCGTTTTTTAATGAAAGAATGTTATTTATTTCACATGAGCATTAAAAAATACATTAATGAAAGTACTTCCCATCACTTGTAAAACGCTACGAATTAATTCCAACCCTAATATATACATATAATACGATAATTAGTTAACATGAATAGAATAAAATTGTAAAAAATAAGATTGTAAAACATAAAATTATTCCAAATTATTATATTATTTAAAAATTAGGAAAAAATATTTCAGGATCATATATTCTGAATTAATAACAATAAAAAAATATTTTTTCCATATTTTTAATTTCTATGTAATTTCTATATTTTTAATTTTTATTTAATTTTTTATTATATTATCAACTATATTAATTCTCTATTTCAGTAAAGCATCGTAATTACATTTTTCCAACTTGACTGTCATATCATGAAGTTACCACTTGGTCCATTAATTTCCACGAACTCGCGTATGATTTAGCGATTCAGGAATATTTGCAAATTTTTTTGCGGGATTTTCATGAAAATGGCGGCTGTCATACGATGGTTATATGTGATCCCACAGGATGAAAGGATTTTCGGGATGGATTTATGACGCGAAATAATCCAGTGTCATCCTCCTACGTACGTTGAGTCTCCATTCGCACTCTACGAATTCCCGCGGATTACGACAAGAAAATCGATCGAGCTCGATTGTGGACTCGAGAGACATTCGCATATGACGTAATATACCTACGTCTGATCGATAATATATATCTGCAATCTCCTTGTCAATTATTCATCATTTCTGTTATTCATGCGTAATAATATTAATCAGATTATGGGTTTATGTATTAGCGTCTTAATCAAATTTTCTGTAAATTCTACAAGGTGCTTAATATGCATTTTCATATAATAAATTAAGGATTTTCGTATGTAATTTTGCTTATAAGTTTTATTAAAGTAACTCATAATGTAATAAAAATTTGAGAAAATACAATTATTTTTAGCAAAATAGTAAATAAAAATTGGTGGTTTTGCATATTGTCAAAATTATTTTTAGCAAAATAATAAATAAAAGGTTGACGGCTCTGCGTATTTTTCTGATTCAATAATTTATTTTCTATTTTAAAGAAATTTCAAAACATTTAAGAGTGTCAACGATATTGATTAACTTTGAGGAGCATAATAAATAATAAAGACTCTTATGAAATTTGTTTTAAACTTTTTATATATTATTAACTTTTAATTAATAAATACTGAAAAATAGATACTCTTTTCATAAAACGTATTTTTATAAAATTTTTATGTTTCTCTGTTTAATTATTACAATTTTACATTAAAAAATTTATACAAACTCACTATTATTATTTATATTAATATTCATTTATATTATTAATTAAATTAAATTAATATTATACAATAATTCAACTTGCGTTTGGATAAATAATCACTAAGATTTTATTGACTGGAAAGAATTATTAAAATTTTATGAACCAATGAAGAAATTGTTGAAGATTTTATAATATTTTATTCTATTTTCATATTGTTTAAAAGAACGTGACACAGAATACTTTGTGTATTTCACCAAATTTAATACGAAGAAATGTAAGTACAATGATTATTATATTCAAAGAGATATTCAGCTATTTTGACATTACAAACATTTCTGGAATGTTTTTCATTGTTTCTTTTTTACAAGACTAATATTGTTATGTGCATAATTATATTAGGTGTTGAAATTAATTCGTAGCGTTTTTAATGAAAGAATGTTATTTATTTCACATGAGCATTAAAAAATACATTAATGAAAGTACTTCCCATCACTTGTAAAACGCTACGAATTAATTCCAACACCTAATAGTATACATAAATGCTTTAATAAATGTAAATATTTGCGAACATATCAAAGGCGTACATTTCCTAAATATATTTCTGACATTATTACTGCTAATGATTCGAGATGTATTATTATTGTTGTAAGTAATTATCATACATTTATTTGTTATTAAAAATTATTGTGCCAAATTTTTGCGAAATATGTTGCTTTAGGACATATTTCATGGACAGTTAAATTTTAACTTCACATGTTAACATTCGTAGCTTCGTATATGCAAACAATTATTCATTTAGCTTTTTGTAAATTATTTAAACTCAATTTAAACTATTGCATCTTGAAAATATGCAGAGAATATGTAATTATATATTGCTACTACTTCCAATCGTAAAATAATCGAGTTCGAGTCTGTAATCAATTTGAGAATGATTTCCCTTGAGTAAACGCTTTATTGGATGCTATTCTTTTATTTTTTAACATTTAATCTCGATCGTTTTTCTATTAAACCAAATTAAAATTTTATTAAAAAAAAAATTTATTTAAAATTAAAGAAATTTATTTAAAATTAAAGAAATAAAAACTGTCTGTATTTTTTTACGATAAGAACTTCTTAAAGAACGCTTATAGATGTAATAACATTTTTTTCTGATAATTTTTTATGTATACAAATTAATCAAAAGAAATATCGCTCGACAATTTAATGAGAGTGTCATCGTTGCATCCAACAAAAAACATCTCTGTCCTCGTTTTAAATGTTTATATAAACTTCGGCTGCGTTTCATAAAACGCATGATGTGTGCACGTATCATTTTATTCATCGAATTAATCGGATAAAGTGGGTGTCATCCAGTAAGAGAGAGACATAGATGACACAGTGTAACACAATATAAATTATTATCATATCCTAAGCAGAACAAATCATTATGATATCAAAATGATGTCAAAATGATTCCAAAATGATTATTAAGTCATTATTCAATTACTTCTAATTCATTTTGACATTATTATGACTTGTTATTTTGCTTAGGATTGGTAGATTCAGAAATTTATCAAGAGGGACATTGACCCGCAAGCGAAATTTTTTTAAGATCAAATATAAAAAGATAAAATATTAAATTATTATTTAAATTATTATATTGAAAAGGTGTTATTTAAATATATAAAACATTTTGTTTAAAATTACGTTTCAAGGAGCATTCAGCCACGCAGCTCAGGATGTTTTTTGCATGAATGTCATATATTTAAAATTCTTACGTTAACAATATAAATTTATAAACGTTTCGGCCATCATATATTAAACCATCTTCAGTATGTCGTATAAATAATATATATAAATCATTCGTAGTCATAAGATTTAGGAAATAAAATAAATAATATATCAATAATTCATGCATAATCATAAGATTAAAATAACAATAACAAATTTATAAATTTGTATTATTAAAAATGTGTGTAAGACTTTTAAATATATGATATTCAAAACAATATCTTGCGCGTGGCTGAATGCTCTTTGTATTTTATATTTGTATTTTGCGAGCCACTTATAAATTTATAAAGTTAAAATTATATTAACACAGAAGAAGAAGAATATAATAAAATGTATATTTTTTATATGTAGGAGTTTCTTAAATTAAATAAAATAAAAAATATTTTTGGAATAACAAAATTGTGATTAAACATTTCAGAAATATTAAAAATAATAGTTTTCTATAAATATTTTTCAAAAAGGAGATGACCATAGTTTCCATAATCTCCCGTAGATCAGTAATCATTATATCAATGTTTGCCAATGTTAAACAAAGATGAAATGATCATTGTATTGCACTGCTTTCTTGCTGGATTGCAAATACATCATGCAATTGCACTTTGCGAAATCAAGGGTTTATTGAATGTGATGGCGCCACCAGTTGTATGATCGACGCCTTTTTTACAGTAACGGATTAATACAATCAATCGCCCCGAGAAGGCACAAAATAATTTGCCCGGTTCCAATTTAACATAATGTTACAAATGTTGATTTACAGAAATATCAATGAAACTTATGACTTTCTCAGCCCGACCGAGTTTGCAGAGTTTACACCAACCTGGATTGATGTTTCATGCTCTCTTATTGGTAGAGCGTGTAATGTCAACTAATAGCAAAGCATTTTCCAACTCAAGTTGGGGCAAATCCGGTCGGACCGAAAATTATTAATACTATTGATTACATTTAGTTACTTTTTAATAATCGATAAGCTGTCATAGAATCAGCGCGACGTTTCAAATTTTAAGACCTCTTGAAATCTCATGAGACTTCCTTTCATGATCCTTCTACGATCCGTCACTGGCACATCGATTCATCAGCTGCGTTTGAAGTGGTTTAAAGTAGCTCGTGTCTCGATTGTTGTCCTGCGATAAATCGTGCCCGCGCTATCTCTCCCGAGATGCCGAATTTTACAAAGTGGCATTTCGCTCTAATCATTATCACCTGCGTGTCACTCGGTAAGTGATCGAGATCCCAAAAAGGCCCTCTCTTCGTTTCTTCGAACGATATTTTTGTGTTCGTAGGCCACGCCCTGGAGTGTTACGTTTGCACGGATCAAGAAGGTAATCAAGAAAAATGCCTGAACACCATCAAGACCTGCGAACCGGGACAAGATACTTGCCTTACGGAGATTAAATGGGGCAGTAAGTGAACGCATTTCTTCACCTTGCGTCCTCCCATGTTTTTGAGGTTATGTACGGCTGTGTACGCCTTAAATGTATTATCAGTTTTTCAATTTATAAATCAACTGCTATCATTTAATCGGTCTTTATTAAAGACGATAAGGACACATTTAATTAAATAATTTGATATCAATATCTCTTGGGTGGGAGAGAGCCTGAGCATTTTTTTCAATTACGAAAGTATATGTATTTTAATTGAAAAAAAGATAACCTAGTTAAAAAAATTGTATTTATTTGATTAGGTACATCAGTGATAAGGCAATGCATGTATAAGAGGTCGATTCTTTTTAGCTGAACTTGCACTTCATTCTTTCTCTCTTTCTACATGGGAGTTAAAAGAGAAAAGAGATGAACTGTGCAAATAGTTCAACTAAAAAGAACAAACCTATTATTCTTGGGTCTGTTCTTTTTAGCTAAAATTTTTGCACAGTTTATCTTTTCTTTTTTTTCCCTTTCAACGAAGAGAAAAAGAAGAAAAATGAACGATGCAAGAAGTTTATATATTATAGAAAGAACAGACCTCTGATAAAGTCTGATGATTATAGGTACACCATATTGGTCTCAGGGAGCCAAGAAACAATTTTATGTCTCTAAAAGATGTGCCTTTAAAAAAGAATGTGAAAGACTACAGCGCAATAATATGCCTGATTGCACTCATATCTGGTATCAGGATTGGAAGTGTTCTTCTTGTTGTGGAGGCGATAGGTGTAACTACTATGTTATTGTAAGTGTAAAGTTTTTAATTGGTAATTTGAAAACAGTATGATGTAAGTATTTTATTTTTTATTTCAGTCTGGTGAAAACGAAAGGAAAGTACATAATGGAATATTTGCCATAACAATCTTAATTTCCTTGTTGGGTGCATCAAGATTTCAATGACAGAAGTTCTGCAGAAATGATTAGCTAACGTTTTAGTCAGCTAATAAATCCATTGAGCATCTCATTATTGCAGACTGAATACGTACAGACGCCTTTTTTAAATGTAATAATTAATGCAAGACAATATTAAGATTGTACACGCAAGATAGTTTTACAATTTTACAGACGTATGAATGTATTATGTTTTAAATTGATTTTAAATATTTTATAAATATACCGAGATATAAGATGTCTCGGAATTTCATTTTTGTATTAGTAATTTTATGCACTACTAATTTTATGATTACTAACATATATATGAAGATATATACATACAAGATATGTATATTACATGAAGATATTTACTTGACATATCATCATTCAATTAATTATTCCAGAAATTTTTATTGCAAATTTTAATTTGCGTGATGTATATAAAACTGTATTATACAATGTACATCCGTCCATCTGAAACAATTCTGTTGAAATATTATATTAGGTGTTGGAATTAATTCGTAGCGTTTTACAAGTGATGGGAAGTACTTTCATTAATGTATTTTTTAATGCTCATGTGAAATAAATAACATTCTTTCATTAAAAACGCTACGAATTAATTCCAACACCTAATATTTATATATATGTATGTTTGTGTGTATGTGTGTATGATTTATATATTTTTTGAATATTTTTATTTATTATATATACATATTATATATAATCCGTCCATTTTACATTAAAACTATTATATATTTACAACTAGCAATTAAATTTTAAATGAAAAAGCAATTTTATATTATATAAAATTGCTATATGCATAGCAATTTTATGGAAATGAATATTTGCAAAAATAGAAAAGTTTAAATGTATTTATTGCATTTGTCATCAAACCATTTTCTCCAAGCTTGCAGAAATATCTCGAGGGGAATGCTCGGGGATATCGACATATCTTCTTTACGATCGTATCATCACACATGTGTAGGGGATAATCGGTATCTTGTTCAGCGATAAGGAGAGTAAAGAGAATAGTTACATTCGTAAAAACAATTTCAAGATCGTATGCAATATAACTGACAGTATCGTTCAGGTACGATTGTACAGTAACTGCGCCGAAACGGTCGTGCGCACATCTGATAAAATTTTTGTAGTGTCCGACCAAGATATACGTCGATATTAACTGTAAGTGTTATCTACTAAAAAACTGTGTTGCATATAAAAAAAAACACGATTGTGTTAATTCTTAAAAAACGTTAATTATTTATGATGACAAATTTTGGGTGTACCAAATATTGTGTTCGCAATAAAATCCGTTGCTATTTTTTGCATTCACGATTCAAACAAACAATAGCATTGTTTTATATATAATCCTTGCGTATTAATAATTTATTATTTAATTATGTCGTTTAAATGTATATGAATTTGGAAACAGTACAAATCGCCTGCATAAATTGCTATTCGCAACACGATTTACATAAATAAAAATATTAAGTTAAATTAATTTAAATCATTTTATAGATTAATTTTGTATGTATTTAATTCATTTGATATTAACTTTATAACATTTGTAAAGCATTTATATCTAAATATTAATTCAATTCTAAATTCAGCTAGGAAATAATTAAATCGTTCTACATAAATACTTACACAAGGAACTTAGATAAAAGTATATATTCATATGTTACATTAATTATTTTCTTAATAAAATATTCTTTAATTGTAGACTGTGTTTTGCTGTATAAATAATATATTTTAAAATAATAGTAAAGTCTTCCCGATTCTAAATTCAAAACTCAGAAATAGATTTATTTATCATATATAAATCAATGTGACGTACAAAATTAAAAAATTTGTGAAATTGACCTGAAAGATATGCACCTTGAGTGCAAATATACGATGATGCAATGCATCCGAGCGTGATATTTTAAAAACAAAAAATAATGTATTTAGTTCAGCACAAAATCTATCTTGCACGATTTTACAACAAGTATGACTGTTTTCATATGTACTTAGCACGAATAACTATGGTAATTTAAAGATTATATAACAATAATACATTACGAAGAGGTGGGGAAAATGGAAGCTCGTTTATTGCGTACACAGTAGATACGATAGATAGTGCTTTCTATGTCAGACAATTAACATACCGACGACCACTAATGGTCTTCTCGAAGCTACCGCTACGTACGGAACTACTATATGTATATACAACTGATATATGTATATCGCAGATAAACAAAATAATATGTTTACTGGCAAATAAGAATCGCTTATTTATCACGAATATTTATATTGAAAAATAATGTTATACCAATGGCATTAACACAAATACGTGTCATGTTTTTTAATAAAATTTTATTTATGTTATTAGTACAGTTATTGAATTAATATGATTTTTATAAATTAATTAAAGATATGAAATAATATTATTTTTTAAATTAAAATAATATTGTCGATATAACATCATTTTTTTTCAATGTAATAATAATGTTTATTTGTTTTTTTTCCTTCAATTTATTTGTGTTTTTTTTAATTAGTACATTCGCGATTAGTACTCATTCCGTATCGCAACAAAGTGATAGCTAATTCCACTGTAATGATAGGATTAATAAATAGATGTATACTTCTCGATTAGGTTCTGTTGGAAGGAAATTAAAAAAAAATTTCTTAATCTCGATTCAATTCATTTGTATATTTAATTTTTGATCGGTATTGATTGAGCTCTTCATTCGATCGTATTTTTGGAACCTATCGGACTATTTTAAAAAATTCAATCGCACATTATTGTCATATATTATTAATGTATCATTAGATTTGATCGCGTTGCTTATACATTTTTTGCACTCAGCATCTTTGTTTTCTCTCTTTTCAACGCCAAAATATATGTCTACCTCATTTTAAATTAAAAAATTATGAAGGTTCAAGCAATGCGATTAGTTTTTTAATTATTACTTGTCTTCTTTCATCATGATTACATGCGTAACATGCGATTGGTTTTTTTTTTTATTAATCTAATAGGTTTCAAAAATACGATAATATGAAATACGATCAATGTGATGAAATCTAATATTGACCAAAAATTAAATATACGAATGAATCGGATCGAGATTAAAAAACTTTAATTCCTTCTTGGAAATGTTTAAGACAACTGAAAGATGAGATGGCGACGTTCGTATTCGCATTGAAGAGTTGATGGTTAACCGTAATAAATATAGATAGAAGATTACTTGTAGAAATGCCCTTCTACGAATCGGCGAGACAATTCGGCCAATTAAATGAGAAGAAGCGTCGAAGAAGAAGCGGCACATTGCACATTGTCGCGTGATTTATATAAAGGCATTTTAATTATGTCTTCTTAGTCGCGCGCTGACTGTCCAATGGACAGTTCGTAGAATTTGTTTTTTAACTTTCTTGTATTTCCTCGCAAAAATGGATTTTGCTTTGACAAAACTCATCGTGGTAAGTCATGTATTATTTTGCAAATTGTGCCGGCCACGAGTAGACATCAATTTTATGAGTCATATTTATAGAAACATTGATTGAATTGCTAAACGAGAAGGCGTATCTGAAACGATATAAATAAATTATGAGAAAATAATTCTTATTCACGGAATTAATTTATGTTTTATTAAAAAGGTAGTCGATAAACATCATTGTGTCGATACTGAATAATTTTAACTTGATATTTTTTTTTAATCCTGAATTTTTGCTAAATTTTAATATTCCCAATTAATTCTCTATTAATTTCAAATATTTTTGGTCTATTTAAATTATTAATTGTGTATATATTTTTTCTAGTTATATAAAATGAAGTGGAAATTACGTGACTTATACAAGACATTTAGTCGCAGAAAAGTGATAGACAACACTGAAGAAAGTACTTTGGCGAGAGTTTTGTCAACTCTTGATCTCACAGCTTTAGGAATTGGCTCTACTTTGGGAGTAGGTGCATACATTTTGGCAGGATCTGTCGCAAAGAAACATGCTGGACCTGCTGTGGTCATTTCATTCGCTATCGCTGCGGTAGCATCAATGTTCGCAGGTACGCATTTACAAATATCACATTGATACATAATAAAAGGACCATTCGGCAAACATTATCGATTTCTTTCTCGTATTATGAAATATTCGATTGAAACATAATTTTGGATACATCTCTAAAAAAATTTTAATTCTTAAGCCTATTTTACAATGTACTTTGCTTTTTACATTTTGCTTTCTTCTCCTTTGCAATCATTTTATCGACAATTGTATTTCTTGCTACATATTTCTTGTTTTTTCCAAAGTTGGTTAACTTTTATATCGGGCGACGTTTTTTAAAATAAAAAACCGGATAAGAAGCAAAAAGAAAAGATGTCAAAAAATAGTAAAAGGCAAGAGACAGGAAACAAAAAGCAAATAGAATAGGCTTTATGAAATTTAGACTTGATAAAAAAACATAAGAAATTAGAAATTAAATATTGAGTCAAATAATAGACGTGTGGTCTGTATCTTCCAGTCTGTATCTTCTAGTCTATATCTTCAATCAATTCGAACAGATCTCAATCCCAGCGATATAAATACGCAAACTGTACTAGATTATGATAACAAAATCGCTGATGCTGCTTCGAAATGTGATATATTTGTTTCATTTGAGAATTTCGTTACCGGGTTTAAAGATTCCTGGAAAAGAAGATACGAAGTGATACGGATAATGTTTGCTTAAGATAATGTTTGCAATTAGCTGTTTTGTGTACTTGATAAATAATGATTTATAATGATAACCGAGCTAAGGATGATTAATAGGTGCTGCATGTAAACATTAATAAATATATTATTTATTTAAGTGATATCTTCGTTATTTTTATACCTTTTCGTTATTTTAATTAAAATAAATTCTAATAAAGTAAAACTTATCGATTCGCGTTATATTATAATAATAATAATTGATAAAAACTACAAACAGATTGTATTTATTATAAAAAATTTCTTTAAAAGTATTTTGTTAATTTTCTCTTCGATTTTATATGACAGATACGATAAATTTTTTGTGCTTACTAATAAATTCTCTAGTTTATGAAATATTTGATATTTTATATTTTAATACATAAATATACTAGAATTAAAGAAAATTACAGAAAAATATCTCAAAAGCTATTTATTTTTCGATGATTTTATTTTAATATATATTTTTATATATCATGCGAAGGCGCATGTTTTCACAGTAACATTTCTAAATTTTTATAATGTCTTTTTAGGTCTCTGTTACGCCGAATTCGGCGCACGAGTACCTCGCGCAGGATCCGCGTATATTTATAGCTACGTGACAATAGGCGAGTTTGTAGCATTTCTTATGGGTTGGACCTTGATTTTGGAGTATGTGATTGGCTCGGCTAGTGTGGTACGTGCTCTCAGCACGTACGTCGATGTACTCTTCAATGACAGCATGAAAAATTTCTTTGAATCGGTGATGCCTATCAATGTTGATAGTTTATCATCATATCCGGATTTTTTTGCGCTTGGCGTTACTCTGATTTTCTCAGGTGATAAAACCTTTTTTTTTTTTCAATCAATCTAATCTCATTTTTAGTAAATGAAATGATTATGATAGAATTGTATAAAACACTCAAATGTATCTTTTCTCGTACACAACATAAAACACTCAAATTCTGTAATATTGATTTGTTAATTTGTTATTACATAATTGCTTGATAGTAATAAAAACAATCGAAAGTATATAATTTCATTTTCAGTCGCTCTTGCTTTCGGAGCCAAGGAATCTTCGATGGTGAATAATATATTCACTTTGGTGAATCTGTCTGTTGTACTTTTTGTCATAATTGCTGGTTCCTTGAAAGGTAAATACTCTTCCAATTCGACTCTATTCCGTGTCTTCTTACATCGAATTAATAGTCACTTGCTAATTATTTGTAAACCCATCAGTGCAACACTCAAACAGTGTAACGTGTTTCCGTAGCTATATATAGTGTAGTGCAAATTTTATATACAAAGTGGGGTTTTGCTACATGATCTCAAAGATGTAGAGCCAGTGTGACATTAAAAATATATTTTTTTTAATTTGACAATTATACTATTCAATAGAGCAAAGCTTTAAGAATATATTTTCTAAATTACGGAACAATGATTTTAACGATAACGAAGTTATGATTAGTCAAAATCAAAGTGCTTCTTTTATTTAATCCAATAACTCAGTGTAATAAAAAACTTAGTAACATTAAAAAAAAACGATTTTATATACGAATTTTTGTTCCAATATAGTTGTATATATATATATATATATATATATATATATATATAACACATAAAATTTACAACGATTTATAGCTGACATTAATAACTGGAAAACGGAACCCAGTTGCACCGAAACAGACTGCGAGAACGGAGAAGGGGGATTTATGCCTTATGGTATATCAGGCATTATAACAGGTGCGGCTGCATGTTTTTATGGATTCATCGGTTTCGATTGCGTGGCCACCACGGGAGAAGAAGCTAAGAATCCACAACGATCCATTCCTATTGCAATCGTCGCGTCACTAACGATCGTCTTTCTTGCATACTTCGGTGTTTCCGTAGTGCTGACTACCGTACTACCGTACTATGAACAAAATCCCGAGGCACCATTCCCGCATATATTTGACGTTATAGGATGGGAATGGGCCAAGTGGTTCGTGACGATCGGAGCGATTAGCGGACTATGCGCTAGGTAATATCGTTTACAGTTGTATCAATTAAAAAAAATATATTTTTTAATAAAATAAAGTAGTAAATGATTTTCACATACAGATCTTTCAGATAGATCTGTAGATGTAATTCTTTTAAAATTTTTTTCATTTACAAACATCTTTTCGTATATTTCGTTTTGTATTATAAACCATCTTATTAAAGGATCTCTTATTAAAATAAGGATAAATAAATATTTTCGTTTATTGACTAATTATTTTAGTCTGTTAGGTTCGATGTTTCCGCTGCCGCGAGTGATTTATGCCATGGCTTCAGATGGACTGGTCTTCAAATGGATGGGCAACATAAATTCCCGATTCCAAACTCCTATTATGGGCACGCTTTCCGCTGGGCTACTTACAGGTTCGTAATAATAATTGTCTGAAACAATTATTTTATTGCATAATTAATTATATAATCATATAATGACATATTACAGGCATTCTAGCAACGATATTTGAACTTGATCCACTAGTTAAAATGATGAGTATCTGTACGCTCCTTACATATTCAATTGTTGCATCTTGCGTACTTATTCTACGGTAAATTTAAATTTATAACTTAATTTTGTTTATGTAGGATTATAGTTAAATTGATTTTTTTTAAGAATTGAAGTTGAAAATATGTAAATAAATTTAATTGGATTGATAATGAGATTAAAAATAAATTGAACAGATTAATATCGATGACAAAATCCTTTTTGTCGATAACAAATATATTTTTTTGTAGATATGCAGAAAGCGAAGCATACGAGAAGAAAGGCGACCATAATCCAAGGACTTTTGTATTTATCGTAAAACAATTGATAAGTGCAAACAAATTAAATCATTCTACGAAACTCACAGCGCAGATTGTTACTGTCCTAGTATGCTGCTATAGTAAGTCTTATTATTGTTTTACCAATGAATGTTGACCCACTTGAGATTTCATGTGAATTATTAAATTTTTTGCAGTTCTTCTTTGTATCTGTACTGCCATATTATTATCGATGTATACGACAGAGATCGCCGCAGGAAAAATCGCTTTCATAGTGTTACTCGCAATTTTCGTCATTGGACTCGTGATCACTCTCAGTTTTATTTATTTTCAACCAGTCTCCGACAAGAAACTCGCGTTTTCGGTATGTATGTTTTTTATTGTTACAATTTCTTTGTTAGTATGATCTTGTTAATTCTTAATTTGCGACATTAATATAAGAACATTAGATTTTATTTATTTCTATTATTATTGAATATTACATATAAACATTATGGAGATTCTGAAATCATCAGTGTGCAAAATTTGTACATGTGATATATATAGTATTGATATATATAGTAGCATGTAATGTTACTATATTGACATATCAATGTATCATAAATCGTAAGAATATTATTGTAAACTAATATTATTGTAAATGTATAAGTCGATAAAATAATGATTCTATTCGGTCATCTTGTCAGCATCTCCTTAACCATATTAATGTTAATATTGAAGGGATACTATACAATTATATATTATATTGATATTCACCAATTTTTATGAAACTTTGCTATGAAAATATCCTCAAAATGAAAAGAATGATGCCACTTTTATCAGCAATTGTTAAAGCGACAGATTGTATTCAAGAAGCCATATGGGTTGCAATCTGATAAGTGCTATTAATATTTCATGTTGTTTTTTAACCATATTTTTTTAGCATTGATGATTGTCAATAAAATTGACATTATTACTTTTCATTTTGAAGTTATTTTTGGCATAAAAATTTCAACAAAATTAGAGTATATTAATTAGATAATGTTTCTTGTAAGTATCTCATCTCAGATCTTCATTTCTCAATGAATTATTATTTAATTTTTATTTTATTTTTTATTATTGATATTTTCAATTTTTCTTTGTGAAAAATATTGCAGGGAAAAAAGTTAATAGAAAAAACGAATAATAACATTGCGAATTAATGATTAAATGACATGGAAACAATAATTTATTAAATAAGGTTTTAAATTTTTTTGTCAGGTGCCGTTTGTGCCGTTTTTGCCAGGATTTAGTATTCTCATTAATATTTATCTTATGATGACGTTGGATAAAGACACATGGATATTATTCTCCATATGGATAGCAATTGGTAAGTGTATTACGAGATGAATATAAATGTTTACAAATATGTTAATATACATTTGATTGTTTTAATATGCTATTGCAGGCTTGGGCGTATATTTCTTATATGGTATGTGGCACAGTCATATTCGACAAAAGAAATGCTCAACCAGTAATGACAAAGGTGTTGACTTTTCCCATATTACATAATAAAATGAAACACTATAATAATGTCCTGGATTAGTTTAATTTATTAATATGACTCATCAGATAATAATTTGATAAATTTTTAAAATAATTATTATAGAGAGAATAATTATTATAGAAAGAACGAGTATTCCATTTATAATATTTGGAAAGTATTCACTATGGTCTGATGCAAATGTCAAATAAAAAGTTTTGTATATTTGTCTTCATTTTATATTTGAGAATGTCACATTGAGATGTATAAAATATGACAAAAATTTTAATTATTTTAATTACTAATTATATACTTTTTGCTATGATATAGTTACTACATATCATCATATTTTACTATGATCTACGTTTCTAACAAAACTTTGTTTAATTTCCACAAGGAATTAAAATCTTCCAAGTATTATTAATGTAAAATAACTCAACCAGCACACATATTAAAAAAATATTTGAAAAATGTTTTTAAAATATTTATTTAATGTAAATATATTAAATAAACATTTAAAAAATGTTTTCCAAATGCAAATTTCTATACTTATTATTGGGAATAGAGTCACACATATTACATCTCTATGTGAAATCAATAACGATGAGAAAAAAATATATTGCATGTAAATTCTATGAATTTAGTATTTAAAAAATTGGAAAAAATATTTAGATGTATATGTGTGTATATATATATGCAATATACAATACAATACAATAATTATATGATATATAAATGTTTATATATATATCACATATTATAGATGTTTAATTTTTGATATATCACATATTATAGATGTTTAATTTTTATACGTTTAGAGATATGTAATAATTTAAGTAAAGTAAAAACATTTTATATTTATTATATTGTAGTCTATTTCTCACAAAATTACTCGTTTCACTTATACAGAGTATGTGTGTTTTCAGATTAAATCGTCAAACATAATATATGAGTTTAAATATCTCTTGATTTTGTATGAAGTTGTTTCAAGATTCTAAATTTATATTTTATATTTGACGGTTTAATGCGCGAACACCCTGTAGAATCCAAATGATAGATTTCAAACAATATAATAAACAAAAAAGCAAAGATTTATGAGATTATTCAACGAGAATGTCATGATACTTTGCTTTTATCATTTTTCAATGCATTTTTTACTATTTTAAACTGTTATTCCTGTAATTTATATTTTATACGTTTCTATTAATAAATAAATAAATTTGAAAGATGATGATTTAATATTAAAACCCCGATATTAAAAAGATATGTGGAAATAAAACATAAGATTGAGAAGGCGAATGTCTGCGTGCGTCCATTTTCTTGTTGCACAAAATTATCTGTTAATCTAGATTTAAACATTGCTATAGTCAGCGAGCAAATAGCGATATTCGACGATTATTCTGCGAAATTTCTGTAATAACGTCTGATTATACCGATAAAAGGAATTAAGATACTACTGCTGGAAGAGCTTCGGATCACTCAAGGCAGATTATACCGCTTTTATTTTTGCTCGTTTGTTGTCTGCGTCCTTTGTTATCGCTATTGTTTTTTTATCAAAGAATTAGAATGCAAAATTGAAGAGTCCAGAGTGATAAGCATCTTCCTTATAAGACATTTGGAAAAGACAGCCAAATGAAATCACAGAGGAAAATCTAGTTAGATTATAGCATTAATTGAAAAGCAAAGGCCCCGAAGTGAATAAAGGGAGCCCTGCATTACGATATGATTGGAGGACGTTATATCGCGTGGTAACTTATTGATAAGAATTGCGTGTCATGTACATATATGCGATACAACATATTTTATCTGGATTTTTATTTGATTATAAATGATCATATCGTAGTATCAGGAAAAGTTCAAACATGCACGCAACAAAATCATAATGAAAATTTTCTAAACGTTTAATTTACAATAAGTAATAAAATGTTAATATTTGAGGAATTATATAAAAATACATTTCTTTTGATTCATGACTACAACAGGAACGCAATTACCAACGATGGTAGATAAAATTATTTATATTTTTCAATCAGTTGGTTGGCATAATTGATGTAGGCCTGCTTCGCTACTTCTTGCGAAGTGCCCTTCTTCTTATTCCAGGCTTCCCATTTGGCTTTCCCTTTCAAATCCAGCATACCGGGTTTGGCTAAAATATTATACAATATATATTATTAATATAATATAAGTAATTATTTATTTTTTACAACTATAATATTATATTACTATAATATTATATATTTTATCATTTAAATTATTTATATATATAGCATATTGTAAACAGAATAAGTATATAAATAATTAGTTTTCTGTGATTTAACGAGAAAGAAAATAAATATAATTTAGCAAATATAAAATAAATATAAAAAAATATTACAATAAAATTAATGTAAATATACAATTAATTCAATAATTACAATTAATATATACAGGATGAATCAGAGTATTTGAACCAGTTTTTTAATCTGAGAAAATTATCGATTACACATCTAACTGTTGACTTAACATCGTGCGAAGTGCTAATTTGAGCGCAAAAACAGGCACGTTCAAATTGTGAAAATTGTTACAAGATATTAAAAATGTGCCTTTTTCTCAGTGCGTCCAGCAATTCGCACGATATATTCACACATCTAATCTGTATCGCTAACATTAGTCAAAGATTAGATGTGAGGTCGATAATTTTCTTTATCCTGTATATATTATATATATGTGTGTGTGTGTGTGTGTGTGTGTGTGTGTGTGTGTGTGTGTGTGTGTGTGTGTGTGTGTATGTCAATGTATATGAACATGCGAAATTTAATGTTATCATTAATCATTATATGTGAATATAATTTCATGACATTAATGTAGGAATTTACATGTATTATTGTCGCCAACTGTAGCTTGTTTAAATAAAGAATAAAGCTCCAAAAGCTCCTCGTCAGTAGGATGCTTTGTAAGCGCCTTTACAGCTTCTGCAGCTTCTTCAAATTGCTATAAGAAAAGTACAATTTTCTTATTTTAAAATAATATAATATTTGAATATTATTGATAATATTAGTACGTATTAGTAGTAATATATTATTATAATATTTTATTATTTAACATATGATAACTATAATATTACATAAGAGAATATTGAAAAAGAATATCCATTAAATACACTGTTGTTTGTCATTGTATAGCTCCTTATTATGTATATTATCTTATAAATATGGATTATGCTCAGAAAAGGCTACGAAAATGACCTCCCCCCTGCATTGAGCTCTTTAAAAGTGACTTTTGTTATTAACTATAAATTTAAATTTACAAGCTAAAAATCATAAACTTAAAATTGTTAATATCAGCAATTATATAAATAATTCGTAATATTTAATCATATAATTTTTAAGATCACAATGAACAAATTCAAAATTATTGAAAGTTCGGAACTTCCAAACTTTCTTCAGCTGAATGCACCCAGATTAAATGATAATCTACTGTCTGGCCTAAATTTCTCTTCGGAGAAATGCACACGATAATGTGCACAGTCACAGCTTGTAATCAATGAAATTATGCTGTGTCACCAAGTCAAATTACGCGGTTTATTTCCGTTTTGATTAATTCGTCAACATCTTGTTGATATAATTTATAATTTTAAACTTTGGAAAAATACGAAGAATGCATTTTTTATATACAAAATAAAAAAACTGCACTTTTTATGTATGCAGCATTAATAATGCACTTTTTATACATTATCATAATGAAAAATGAAAAATATCTGTGATACCTGCTCGAGAGACATTTTTATAGTTGTTTGCACGACTGTAGGTATTATAAATATTTTGTGACCGTCAATCGAATGCTTGCACAAGTAAAAAACGCTAATCCCCATCTCACAAAATTTATCACGATATGTAAACCAGGGTCGAACAACATAAACTTGTTTCTTTTTTCGAGATAACTTATTATAACAGATAATAGCAATTTAAATTAATTTCTTTTAATAAAAATTCAATAAAAAAGTAGGACGAATTTATTTATTTACTTGAACAAATTGTCAACTTTTTACATATCTCTCTATAACTATTAGGTGTTGGAATTAATTCGTAGCGTTTTTTAATGAAAGAATGTTATTTATTTCACATGAGCATTAAAAAATACATTAATGAAAGTACTTCCCATCACTTGTAAAACGCTACGAATTAATTCCAACACCTAATAATTTTCAAATTATATTATAATTCACTGAATGAAGAATAAGATACATTTCTAGGAAAAAAAATTTCCCAAGAAAATTTATGCCTTTTATTTTTAATTACATTTATGACTTAATATAATAGTTGAATTTTTCAGTGTTTAAATCAAAAAATAAATTTTTCAATCGAGCTTTGCTCGATCTATTTTAATTGAGAAATAAATTTTGTGTAATTTTTTATTCTGACTCAAAAAAAGTAATAAATAGAGATAAATAGAAACTTAAAAAAAATAAATAAATAGAGATATGATTTGATAGATGAATTCTGGGATACTTTGTGTTTTTAAATGTGTAATGCAATGTATAAATCGGTTATAAGATCAACCGTAGAAAACCCCGTTATAGGCAATTGTCGTAGACGACATTCATTTATAAATCTTTTCGCAATTTCCCGAACATACAAATATTTTAAAAACAAACAATATTGAACATAGACATTCTACGTGTTAATTAAAACAATCTGTATGAAGAAATGCATAAATTAAAAGGAATTAAACGACACGAAAATTCTCATTTTGTGAATTTTTGAATCTTAATCTTCAAAATCAGGAATTGAGAATAATTTCTGACTTTAATCTATTCCTTTTTTTGATTGTTTTTCTCACACAATTAGATAATTTTATTTATAGATTTTAATAATCTCATTATGCCTTATGTCGCTAAACATTTCTCGAATAATTTCTACTTTTTTAATTATTTAATTTTGTGGAATTTAATTTTACAAAGTGAATGCTCGCCGATACTAATTCCTTTTAATTACTCTATACTTTTTGTATGAAAATAAAACAATACCTGATCGACCGACATCGGGATGTGAATCCGCTTCGTGTGCAAGCTAACTGTCTACTGACTGTAGCTAGCAATCACGATTCTACACTTCCCGATTGCCCGTGCTGGTGAATTTATTACTCTAGCGAGGTGGGGAGCGGATTTCGATCTTGTATTGATTATGCAATATCATGATTATTACAAATTCATGATGTACGCTGCAAAGTGTATAAAAAGTAATACATGCACATAATTAAATTTTCATATGAAAATAACGTTATATTATATTATATTATATTAAAATGTATAAATTTATTTTTGTATGCAGCATAATATTTTGTTTTTGCACGGATAATCAATCACACATATATTTGCAGTGTATGTATGCACAGATTTAATCGCGTCTCAAAGTCTGTAAGTAGATTATAATCGAGACAAAAAATCTGACAATTTGAATTATTTCAGAATTTAAAAATTATGTGTAATACAGATAAATATTGCAAAAAATTTGATTTGATAAGATAAATAAGCATTAAATACAAAAATTAATAATGTAAATAATTGATAAGAAATGTGAGGATATATTTATATCCACAAAAATTGCAATTAAAATGATTGCACATATATCTCATTGCCAACATTACATCAACAGTACTCGTCTCATATATCGTAATTTGATCGTCTAATTGGAGATAGTCGTGCAATTAATTCGTTCCTCGATGCGTTGCCAAATTAGTCATAGCGTGACAACAATGTGAACGGACTAACTATAGGTAATCTACGAATCTACGCGAGCGAGTTAATGATTGTGTGTACCATAAATTCAAGACCAAAGGCATGCACATCTCAAGTGTTCATCTAAATCTCTAAATAATATATACTTGTGTACATGTATACAACGTGTATTTCAAGATTTATTTGAAAAATAAACTCTAGCCAAAGAGATATTCACGTAATGTAACACTGATGAACTTTATAAAAGTGGCACGCAATATTATTCACTGTTTTTATTCTTGTTTTCCACTTGGTAACAGATAACTCGATCGAACGTATCATATTTTATCATGCTCCACTTTGCAAGAGGAGTCTTCTCTGAAATCATAATTTCGCTGGTCCTTACACGCGTTGTTCAGAGAAGAACGAACGAGGTCAATGCGCCACATCAGCACTGCAGACTCACCTGCACAGGAATGTCGGAATTCTTGTCTACCTCTGACGCACAATTTGCCACCTTACACTCACAGATATACATATAAACGCCTTTAAATCTATATGTTTATAACAAAAGTTCTATTTATAGGTTTGTAATATCGTAAATTTTATGCGACGCAAAAAGTAATATTGTAATAAAATTTACACTACAATACTTTAAATAACTTCTTAAAAACAAGCGTAAAAACATTACGCAATTTACGTATGCTTGCAAATAAACGACATCCAAAATATTATAATTGAAGTATTTTTACTTGTAATTGTTTTTCAATAATTATTATATCTCAAAATTATACGTCGTTTGTGTCGTAATTTATTAATATAAAATAAAATTAATATTATCATGCAAACAATATTTCGGAGAAGTAACAATAAAGCGGGTATAATATTTTATTATCCATCGAGATATATTTGGTGCGCAACTAAGTTCTCGCTGTTATTTTCATAGCATTTACATCAAAATATCAGCGAGAACTTAGTTGCGCACCTAATATATGCTCTATATATATATATATATATATATAGCATTAATGATTAAATGCTATGTATCTAAAGTTGTCTTTTAATGTATTACAACTCACATTGCAAGATCTATTTAATTAATTCCTTTACAGCACAAGTTTAACATTGCATGTTGCAGCAATATTGCAGAGATTTTGCAGCGATATTGCTGCAAATTCTGTGATATATGAGTAATTATAATTAATTTAAATGAATAATTAATTTTAAAGTTTTGTTGTAAAATGTTGCGAAAATGCGACGTATGCATAACGCACAAAAGAATCGTCTCATTACATATGTAGGAGTCAGCAGAAAGTTTGATTACGAAAACGGGTGAGCATAAAACGAGAACGAAACGGAGAAATCCCTGAAGAAAGAATGCGGAAACATTGCTGAATGATATTGGACACGCTATATGCAGTTTTCTTATTTCTCATCAATCGCATATCAGTCACTGCAGTGATGCATTGAGTTGTAAAACTGACACATTGCAAACATTTAATAGAAAGTAAAATTTTATTAGAGGAACTATATATTTGAAAGAGAAATTTTTGACATGAACGTTTACGCTTTTGTACAATAATTCCGCGGTTAAAGTAAAAGTATAATTATAAATAATTTAAAATGTTTCTTTCTTCTTGAGTTTATCTTGAAATCTGCGAGTTACTTTCACTCAAATATTGTTCTTCATATCATGAACTTAAAATAAATTTTAGAATCAAGATGATACTTGCTTTAAACTACCTATAACTTGTGTTAAAATTTTTTTTAGGATAGAATTCTATTTATATTTTAATAAGCTATAAGTAAAAAAAGAAGAATTTAAAAATTTTAAAATATGTATATAAAATTAACATAAAATATATGCACACAAAAAAAAATTTTTAAATAGAATTTTATGCTATAATAAAATCTAATATAAATTACAGATCATCCAAAATAAACTTAATATAAAAAAATAAAGAAAGATAATATTATAAAAAAGGGTGTTGCATTTCTAGAAATATAATTTTGTCTAAATATTCAAAAGTAAATTAGATATTATATATTGGATTATATTAAGTATTTAATGATTAGTTACTGTATTTATTTAAATAAACGTATTTTAACAAATTGCATTTATAAGTCAAGTAAAAGCGGAATATGAAACTTTATAAATATTTTAACAACAGAACGTTTGAAAAAATTTTTTTAATATTAGCAGTTATCATTCGATACCGACAGAAATGGCGACCAGATTATATTACTTATATTATTATACTTCATTAAAGTTTATATTGATTATATTATTATATTTGATTAAAATATCCACCGAATAAAATTCAATTTATCTTATCGAGTAAAGTGCAACAAATGATTTTTTTTCTATTAAACGCACATATATTAATGTGTAAATTTAACGAACAATATCGTACATTATACATAAAGAATCTTATGCAAAACCAATAACAAATAACTGCAACTTTCATAAATATTTGACGCGTAAGTATTTTACAGAAAATGCGTTCGTCGTATACGTATGATCAAGAAAAAGTCATTAAAGTTCTGGAACAATAATAATATTTGCTTTTACAACATTTTGAACATGAATATAATTAGTTCATTATTTTAGTTTATTTTGTATTAACATTGTTATAAAGAAAAGGTAAAATTATCTTATTATATTATTATTATATTATTTATTTATGAAAACCTTATTTATAAGATTAATAACAAATATAATATATTTATGCACATTTTATAATGTTACATAAATTAATAATATAAGTTAATCTATTTAATTAAGCAACTACTGCAAAATTCTAATAATTTTATGATATCTCAATATGATATTTTTAATTATTACACTTTTTTCTTTTTTTAATGAGAAAAGACTTAAATGTTTTGAGCAACAACATCATTAAATTATTTTTTGTAATTAATCTATCATTTCTTTTCTTAAAGACGGATAAAAAAATTATACAAATTTATACGAGCGCTCAAAAGAAGCACGCGAGAATCCATTGAATCCATGCGATTCATGGATCACTGATCTATGTACTACGGTACTGATACGCGAACTTTGCCGAGGAACGCCGAGCGGTACCGACAATCCTCGAGCCTGGTACGCAGGTCTGCGTACGCGGAGTGCTCCGAAAATCCGGCGCGAGTACGGCCGCGTGATTGTCGCCGCGCACTGCCGCGCACACGCGCGCGATCTCTCGATCATTGACGATCGATCGTCAACGTTGGCCGGACCGTCGCGCGATCAGTCAGATCAGTGCGCATCGCGCCGCGTGATCGTACGTTTCGTTTCGTCGCGTCGCGTCGCGTAGCGCTCGTCGTCCGACGAGTGCACGTGCGGCGCGCTTAGTGGAGTACGTACAAGTGTGAGATATAAATTCCTTGCTCATAACAGTCATAACGGATCCGCACTTCTTAGAGAAGGTCGCAATGAGAAGGCAGTGAACGGTACGCGAAGCTTCGGGAAATTAAGCGGAACGAGCACCGCGATCGTCGCGATTATCATCCTTTTCGCAAAGTGACGAGTTTTGCGCGACGTGACGTGACTGACGAGTTAAGAAGTAACGGCATGGCAATAACTCGCCGTCGCACAGCTGTTTTTTGCAAAACATGTGATTACTTGGAATGTTTTATTAATTGAAAAAAAATGTAATAACTAATATTTTATTTAAATTGATAAAATTTTAATTTAATTGATATTTGATCGAACGTGAATATAAATTTCATTTCGATATCAAAAACATTAAATATTTGTTTATTCTATTTATTCATTCTATCTTTATTAATATGTTTTGTATATCTATTGATGCACGCAATCTATCTCTGTTATTATATTGGGGAACTATTTAATAATTAGACTATTTAATAATTAAAATTAAACTATTTAATAATTATCGTCAAATTTAAAAAAAATGATAACTATCGTTTGGACTCGTTTGTTTATTGGAATTTTATTGCATCATCATAGTTACTGAACGGCTTCAATTAACCTACTTAATACTTAGAAATAAAAGCAAAAATTAGTTTCATAACTGAATAAATTAGAAGAATAATCTACTCAACAACTGAAATGAGCTAAAGTAATACAAAGTCTGTCGCACAATCGATTAAAAACAATCAGTTTAGTTGTCCCTCAGAGAAATTAAATTTAATGAAAGAGGAATAGAATTAATCTAGATATATTTATACATTTAGTTTGAATTTATTTGATAAATCAGTAAAAAATGGGCGATTTTTACTCCAATAAAAGATTTAATTCCAATCGAACAACAATTCCTCTAATAACGGATTATAATATATGATTAGATTATTAAAAAAAAGATAAAGACGAAATGCTTTGTTTCCTGTGAATTAATAAAAACTGCGATAAGCAGTTTATTCTTCGCCAGTTGCTTATCCGCCTAACTCGCAATCCCAGATTTTATAAAAACAAAATAATTATCTTAATCTCATCTTAATTATACTTCTTGTAGATATTCAACAAGTATCGTTAATTCGTCATAATAGCAGCGGAACGAAAAAAACAAAGTTTTCCAGAATAAATTTGAATATTTTGAATTTAACAATATTAATTTTAAAATGCAATTCAAGTAGTGTAATAATTAATTATAGAAGAATGCAAATATGATCTTTTAAATTATATTTCTTCTTTTTTTTCTTTATATTTCCGTTCTTTTTTCTTGCATAAAACTGAAAAATAGCAGTTTTTTTCAGTTATATCATTGTTGTAGCAATTGAGCGATATGCCACAAAATTTAAAGAAGTCTAAAAAATTGAACTACATAATAATAGAAATAGATGTTATATTTATTACGTAATAAATAGCTACTGTGGCTGCCAATGGCAACATCGTGATCAACAATAATACGCACGCGCGATACTCGTGATAAGGGAACACATATGAATGTGGTGTTATCAGCATTTTCGTGGAAAACATTTGAACGTGCGGTTATTTATATTTTTTTCGTGCCAGATTACGATTTGCAGCGGTGATTCTTCTTTCTGTACTTTTGAATTATATGATTGTGCTCCAGGGACACATAACATTGCGAGAAATGCGAATTCATCAATATCTGTTGCGAACAGAATAGTATAAACTGTAAAGCACATTTTGAATTAGATTTAATTGAGATCAATAGTATAAAAATTAGGGAAAAATGTTGCAGAAAATAATGTAAAAAAATGTTTACAGTTTTTGAATTTAAATACTAAAAAATATATATGGAAAATAAGATTAATATTTTTTTTTAATAAAAAAAGTTATAGAACATGGTACGATATATCAATGTGAATCTTTAAATAATATAAAAATTTCCCTAAAAATATAGACATTATAGAAAAAATAGTGAAATAAAATGAAACTTTATTTTTATTTAAATTTTCTATCTGTAAGTAATATGAAAGATAAAATATATATAAAAATATCTTGCTACAATTGAGAATCTTTTTTTCAAAATTTCAGATTGAAGAAAAAATTAATAATATATAAATAAAAACATTTGAACAACAATGTGTGAAGTGATGTTTCTAAGAGTGAATCTCAATTGAATCCTTAAAAAAGGGACGAGATGAGCCCTTCACCCACTGCCAATCGGAGTTTCTTGCACGGAAACGGCAAGGCTACTCTAATTTCTAACAAGGTCGTTTACGCCACTCTCGATAGCTTAGCTTTGAAACGAACGAGATTGCCCTTGCAGTTGCTTCCCGTGGAGAGCGATAATGTTGTAGATAAGTCGGATAAGAAAGAAAAAAAAATCGTCAATGGAAAAACTTCAATCAAACGACCATCTTATAAGGTATGTCAATATTGATGTGTAAATATTTGAAATTATGTTGTAAGTTTTTAAGGAAAGAGCGCACGATAAATGAAGAGTCAGTCAATTGTTATGTCATTTATGGAAAGTCCTTGACAATATATGTAATCGCGCATGAGTGTAACACAATTTTAGTTTGTTTTAAACAGAGTTGTTGTTGTTCCAATGTTCTCATTGAAAGACCTTGAAATACAAATTTTTATTCACAACAAAAAAAGAATTAAAAATCTATAAATTCTAGAAACGCTTTTCTTACAAACTTTATAAGATAGATTAATCTCAATCTTCAGAATAAATAATTTAATTCTTTAATGCTACACTATATAAATAGGTTTAAATTTTTTAATACAAATATATGTTTTATTGCAAATGAGAAAAAAATTGAGATAAAAGAGTTTTTTAGTCCAAAATGATTTCATAAATGTCTTATTGTTAGAGGTTTAACGATATCAGAAAAGTGAAAAAAATCAATTTTTAACGCTAATGTTGTTAATGTATACAATTTAACAGGATTCGAATGAAAGATGGATTTTTTAAAAACTTTTTGAAGATTTAAAGAGACACGATTATTCTTTCGCGCATAATCTAGATATGTATTTAAAAACATGAGTTTACTTAGCTTCCTGCGAGAAAAGAAACTATGTGTTTTCTCTTATATAGTACATACGTAAAAATACGCACGAAATACGCACATGCGGATACACGAGCAAAAGGATGCTAATAGTCGAAGGAGTGGCTTGTTAGCTTTTACGACGCTAGCTTACCACTTCAGATAAGAATCATGAAGATGGAGCACTTCAATCCTTCACTATACACATTTTTATGACACCGTTAGGTAAAGAAACGCAGTTCCATCCGAAAAATTAATCTGTGACTAAAATTAAACTTTTCCAAGTTGACATACATCCAACTATTTTTATCGAACGATAAGATTTCTTTTTATTACGAAAGAATTGTGATTTCTTTGTAACACACACCGACATTACACCGCACTGGTTTGATGAGAATACGAAATACGATCGACAGGAAAAATTATAGTTTATGATTGACGTATTGTTATTCGTAAAAAAACCACGAAACTTTCACTTTAGACATGATGAATGTCGCACTTTTATCGCAATAAAATGAAATATTTTATTACGAGAAAAATTATATCTATGTTCATTATAACATTCTTTTTATGGAATTTTGTGATTATCATTTAATAATTTAATAATAATTATTATAGTTGTAGAAATAATAAATTTTGTTTTAGAAAAGTATTGCATTATTATATTTTAAAAACATGTAGTAGGAACGGCTCAGTAACATAAGAATATTCATATTTTTTAATTATTACCATAAAATAAAATTTTTCCTAATTTTTTGGTAACTTTCTCTTTTGAGATGCTTGCACCGATGTAATTAGTCATCCATTTAATTATTCCCGTTTCGTCATTAGGTGAAATCCGGAGCTAGTCATCAATGGAAAAGTTACTCCAAGTGCCTGGCCTTCTCTTCTACGAAAACGGAGAACCAGTCAACGACTCGTGCCACCAGAATACTAGATTCCGGAACCGAATGCAATATTGAGAATACTCTCGAAAAGGAAATTCAGACATCAATAAATACGACAGGCGTAGAAAATACTGTAGAAAGTCCATTTTCTACAAGATCATCTACGAAAGAAGAATCTCACATTAAGGATTTTCATAGCGACAATGGCGATTCAATACATACACAAACGGAGACGAATTCTCGCGATGATTCCAATCTTACTGAAAATCAATGTGAGAAAGAAAAATGCTCAGTCGAAAGAAGAAGCTCTAATACATCCAGCGACTACGAAAAAATTAGTATAACAGACTACAAGGCATCCATGCACGATTTCGAAGTCCTAGAGAAGACAGTTTCCGAATCTATTGCACATATTTACAAGATTGAAAAAAATTCTCCAATACCTTCGAAAACAATCACAAAATCACAATTCATAAACGATCTAGCAACCAAAGAAACCACGTATGAGAACTCTTTCGTGAAATACTCGAAGCAAGACGCGGAATCGATCACGAGTGACGAGAATGATGACGTATCGTCATGGCACAAGAAGAAAAAGAAGAGACGCTTCACTAGAAACGTGCTGCACTATGTACCGAGGCACCTAGTGAAACAGCCGAAGAAGAAAAAAAAGCTAAAAAAGAAACATGCTCTGAGCAGTTCACTGAGTTCCTTGAGATCGTTGCAAACGGCACCTTTCTCGAACATTTCGGACTCATACAAGACTAGAAGTCTGTCGAGAGACGAGTTGAGAAGCGTGATTATCTCGTCGCCTACGAACTTCGTTCACGTGGCATCTGCTACGAATCCCAGTTTAGTTCAGAACTCTCTTGGATTGGGTCTGGAGCAGATCGTAATTACTCATCAGCAGATATGCGCTACGTTACCTCTACTTGTTAGAAAGAATGAGCAGTGCAAGAATGGAAACATCGAGCAGCTCAAGGCCGCTGCAAGAATGTCTCCTGCGGGCGATATAATTTCCAAGCAAACTGGGCAAAGTCAATCAGCCGTTGATAGCATCGCGGGTACGTTCTCTTGACACATCGTCAGATTTCTTTGTCGAGTTCGATTATCGTGAAAGAATTTATGTAAATATCGCCTTGCTCAAGTGCGGCTTGATTTGCGCAATTGTGCTTGAATCTATACATGCATGTATTGCCGTCGAATCGGATAATCGAAAGCATTGAGCAAATGTATAATAATTCTATCTCCAATAAAATTAATAGTTGTTATAACAATACTAAAAAAAGTAAAGAATATTATAAAAGAATATTATTAATATTATTTTATGATTAATTACATTGTGTGTGTGTTTCATTTTTATTCAAAGATTTTAATACTGCGTTTAAATGCAGATATTATCAATTAGTTATCAAATTATGTTTCAAAAATATTTAATATAAGTATTAATTACATGTTTTATTAAGAAATTATTTATGTACGTATATGATTATATTTAACATTTCTACGAGAAAGCTACTGTGATAAAGTTCGTAAATAGTATGATTAAAAAAAACAAACATGTAGAACAAACATATTTCAAAACATGTAGACCTACCTTCCAAAATGAAATTCCAATTGAATGATAAAAAATGTTTGAATAAGTATTAATCTTATTTGACTTTGTATCCAAGCTACATCAGACAATTTTATATCTCAATAATTTTATATCTCGTTACAAACAGATTCATGAACATTATGAAAATATTTACAAACGGTCGGTGAGATGTGGAATATTGATAATAAGTATTAGCTGAATGAAATCAGTTATATTATTTTGTTTATAATATAAATTCAGCTAGTATAATTTCGAATTATTGAATTACAAAATTGTCTGTAACTCAGAAACAAGGTTAAACGCTAATATAAATATCTATACAAACCTTCTTTATTATTCTTGTACCTCCAACTTCTAAAGTTACACATAGTGTTTTGAAACGCCTTTATAAAATACGAGAGCAGATGCTATCTGTGTTTGTTCATGCAAAATAACTTTTCTGATTGCATACGTTCAACGATATCTATGCGGAGAGACTTATCTTTTAAAAGTCACCCTGAAAATGTAGTAGTTGTGGTACAATACAATATTTTAAAGATTTTTACTATGCATTTCAATAAAATTAATCAAACTTATTTTATATTTTATTGTAGTTTTATTAATGAAAGAAATTTACATAAAATTCTTGGAAATACAATGTTGTCCCAGAACTATCATATTTTTAAGATAAACTAAGAAAAAATTCTTTCATAAAATAAGATTCTGATGACAGAACCCTTTACAGATAAGAGTGATCGAACGAAGTATGCGGAGATACAGAGCGATTTCTCGAGGGACTCACAGGCGGCGAAAGTTTTGGAGTCCAGCCAGGTGGTGAAAATCGCTAGGAATCAGGCCGATTTGCCGGAAGAAACGTACGAGCCAGTCTGCGAATCTTCCCCTGCGGCATTGCCACAGGCCAATTGCAGCTTTCTGTGGAGCAATCACGGGACAAAAACGACTTTTCCAAATGACAAACCCGTCACGGTCGCTACATGCCACGCTCCAAAGGAAAACGATGAGAACACCGATAGCGAAGGATACGATGACGTCGGACCGTCGAACTTCGTCACTCAAATGGTATGAATTATTGTATGCATTTCGTTATTGCAAACATCAACAGGATAGAAAATAATTTCTATGAATAACGTAACCCTGTCAGCAACGATATGTGAACATTTTGAAGTGATAAATTTTCCGCACAACAGCTATGGAAGTTCAGTTTTTTCAAGGAAGAATTTTATTTATTTGGTTAAAAGACATTACATTTGCGTGAAAAATTGATATCAAAAAAATCTTAGAGTCAAGAAAATATCTTAAGTTTAATATCTTAAATTTAAAAATTAATTCAAGTAAAAGCTCAGAATGATATAATAAATTAACATCTAATTTTTTAAATTTTGATTGCTCTTTTCTTGATCTTTTTTAAAACTTTGTTATATTTGTGTATTCACACGAACTTGACTACTAACTTATTATAATTCAAGTAATTTATTGAAAAAAAAAAAGATTTTAACTTAATTATAATTATTAGGTAATATTACGCATTTTTGAGAGAAACAACGTTCGCAAACATCAACGCGCGAGCTTAGCTTTCGCCCGATTGCTAAATCACGTAGTGCATTAAATTGGTAACCGTCAGCGAAGGTGAAAAGGAATGTCGAATAATCGATTCTCATCGCACGCTTACAAATTAATGGCGGAAATAGGGTATCACGAACGATGTGTAATTTGATTCACTTCTCAAATTTCGCTTTCAGAATCGTACGTGCCTTTTTTGCATCAAAAATTCGCGAAGGTGTCGATACGTGTCGATATATTCGATGCACCCATCCGTCGCTTATTTCTTCAAATTACAAAAAGAATGCATGATGATGAATTTCTTATCAGGAATCCGACTACGACGACGTGGGACCACCAACCACTTATCTCGAAGTCGAAACGTTCGATATTGATACTAATAAGGACTGCGAGGGGATTTATGACGATGTGATACCGCTTAGCTTCCAGCAAAATAGTTTGAAAACCATCGACGAGAACGATTATCTGATACCGGAAATCAACGACGAAACATCGTGCGAAGAACCATCCGTGGAATTGCGAGCAACGTCCAAGAATCAGAACGCGGCGGAAACGTCGCGTTTTGATTCAACAGCGAACGATGATCAGTATTTCTCAACGACAAACAATGAATATTCCAGCGTGGACTGCGAAAGTCATCTGAATGAGGAGGAACGAGACGAGTTGGATGTATATGACGACGTCGGCCTGCCTGGCGAGGAACGTGTCAATAGCCTTTATGCCGGCTCCACACCCGGCTCTGTCTTAGGATTGATCTCGGTGAACGGCAAGGAATCCGAGTGGGAGGACCTGGAAGAAGCCACGTGCGCCTCACACTGCCCTTGTCAGAGCAATGATCCGCGGTAAGTAAGCGTGGGAATTAGAGAAAACTTCAGTGGGAAAACTTCAGGATTTGCAAAAGTGGGAAACAAAAACGCGAACAATATATATAATAATTCATCTTTCGTGAACAATAAAAGATGAGACACCACGATTGCGAAAGCCATGTCAAAGACATCGCGAAATTTATACCAAAAATACGCAAATGAGACTTTAACTCTTAACTTAAGTGCCGTGAAAAACATTTAATTTTAACGTCGTGGATCCATTAGACTTTCATTTATCTATTTTTAATCAAACTAATAACCTATAGAAACCTATAATCAAAACACACATTTAATTTTTGTTATTAAATAAGTTGATATTATAAAGAATTATTTTCGCTTAAGAACTTACGTAGGCTCCTTTCTTAAAATAATAAAAGTAATGATATTGATGTGAGTAATAAATTTTCTATTAAGTAAAATTTGAATATGGATCCAATGGCATGTGGACTCAGTCGCGGATTAATATGTCTTTAAAAAACCTGGCTTTCCCTGTTTAATTTCCCTGTCTAAAGTGCACATGCTAAGCAGGTACCATCGCGAAAAGAATTCGCTCGGCACGCGCGATAAGGCTTCGAAGGTACACACATTTTTTCCGCGACTTCGTTACAGCGATAACAGTGCGGAATTGAAAACAACATGGCTAATTGCCTTCACCTCGGTCAAAGGCGATTAATCATTATTGGACCCACGAGGTTAATACACACGTGGCGAATCGTTCGTCGCAAGTGTTTCGAAAACACAATATGGAGAACATCATCACGATAGCACTATATATGATAACACAGTGTGAAACGACATCATATTAAATATCGTTATCACCGCATTCCATCTGAGAATGAACAAGCTTTTTAGCATGATTAATGCGACGTTATCGAATTTTAGATAATCATAACTCTGACAAAGATACAACGAATGCGTTTCCATTTGGTACTCACAACGCTAAGTAAGCATCATATGTTTTTGTTTAACGTTTGATAAATCATAAGAATGAAATGATTCCATGAGCGTTGCGAGCGTCAAGTGGAACGCACCCAATAAGACTAAAAACTATTGAATGCCGTTATAACTAGATTCGATATGATTGCAACGAATATATGTAAACCTAATATTTCAGCGGAAAAGGAACTGAAGGACAAATCACATCGGGCAAAAAGAAGCTTGCTCAACGGTGGTCGCGGAATGTTAGGAAACAACGATCCAGGAGATCTCGCAGAAGCATCACACGGATGACCCACGATACTACGCTTGATGGTGAGTACTGGAGAAGGACATTTTACTTATATTGTTGAGTAAACGGCGCGTGCCGTAAGTAATGCATGATGCACGTAATGTCGCTAAGAATACACGGGTGTCTCTCCTTGAAGACATTCCGCAACAACTGCTGGCGTTCTGCAAATTGCACTGCGTGGATATACGTAAGTGCGTGACTCGCATAGACGTAAGATTTTTGCGTGAGAAGCTCTTTCGGAGAAGAACGCTACAGTGCACTATGTGCTTATTTAAAATTATACAGCGCACATACATAATAAGTTCAGGTCTGTTGCAAGGATGTTGAGTGACATTCGCGGGAAAATAAAAAGAATAATTTCACTTTATCTTATTACATAAGCAGTGCATTAACTTTTGGTCATGCACCCAACGACATCATGTTCTATTTACGTCGAGATTTTAATTGATTTATGTATAAGTGATTTTGATGAGACTACTTATCTATTTATAATTGTATAAACACTTACCATACTCTAGTCTACCAGTAATCTAATGATAGACGATAAAAATGTACTACTAAGATAGAATGTTATACATATAGCTATCATATATATATATATCTCTCTCTCTCTCTCTCAATATTTATAAATGCATTACACAAACGCATCACGGAATCACCCAGTGACTTTCCAATGGAAAGCTTTCCTCGAACTGTATTTCAACAATTCGTACTTTCGACATCGATGATGTAATCTTTCGGAACGATACGTCGCACACGTGACGTCTTGCTGAAGCTTTTCGTCATTCACACAGTAACTTCTTGGCAAAAAAAAGTACAATTAAAATACTGCATTTGTAAACATTCGTATTCGCATAATACTGAGTAAAAGACAAAACTATTATTGTCTTGTCGAGATAACAAAAATAGACAAGAAATATATTGCTGCTACCAAGAAACTATTTTATTATTAGAGATGAGTGAGAAGTCCATTGACAAATTTAATACTATGATTAAAACTTGAAATCCTGTTATCGCATGTGTATAAAAGGTATACCAACAAATTGATTCTATAAAACGAGCTTTAATCCGAAATTTCTTCCGATATTTTACAGTTTACTACTTTCGCAGGATAATTATAACCTAACATGGAAATCATCGATAGGAGATATTCTCACTTGTTAAATAATATAATAAAAGTATCTTGTTTCAAGATTCTATTATCGATTATACACGAAAGGCGCATTCACAAATTGATGTTATAGATCGAACGTGAGACTTTTACTTTCTGGAAACGCGTGTGTTCCGGCGGGTTTAATGCAAGTCCGTAATTATACCTGAGAAAGTCCTAATGACGATACCGAATTTCTAATATCGCAAGACGTTGATCAGCGAGCGTTCGCCACGTCTTCGGGATTCCCAAGCCAGGATTGGCACCGTTCGGAAATTAATATGCCGGAAACGACTTCACTCCAAACAAGTTTTGCGACGAGAATTATATACTATATACAGTAAGAATTAGTATTGTGCGTATCTTAACAGTGTCACGGCTGGACATAGTTCTGCGACTTTGTGCAACGAGACAACAAACGAGTGAGCAAGGCGTGGTAATCCGTAATCGTGTTTGCCGCGATCACGAACGTCGAAGGACGGTGGGCGGTGTAATTGAATCGACGCGTAAAGGTGATGCCGCCAGTATTACCTTTAGTATAATTAAAAGACAAGACCGTGCAAGGTCGAAGTACCACGACAAAGCACCTACTCTCCATTAATTCCGAGTTCCGCTGCACATCGCTGCATGATTGGTATGCATACGCAGTTACGCGAAGAACGCGAACCATCGCAACCAAACGCGTTCGCATCGAGAATAATTCACTGACGATAATAATTTTCACATCGAGCTGCGAAAGAGGGAAATTTTAGCCAACAAAATTAACCATGGCAATTAAATGTGATTATTTCTTGGACGATAAAAAAGATACAATAAATAATCCATAGCAATAAAATCATTTTTTTTAATTGTATCAGTGCCTTAGCCAATGAATTACTTCATTAGCTTTTTAAAATACTTTTTCAAATTTCTATTTTTTATATTTGTTTTCTATATATAAAAAAATAATTACATTTGTAAATTTAAACGGTAGGAAATAAAAAAATAAAAGAGACTAGCAAGTATTAACTCTGCAATATTGTATTATATTTATCTGTATTTGTTTTAATTATCATTAATTAAGATACTTCCATTTAAAATAAAATATTAAGAGAATTTGATTTATTCCATTTGACATAATTGAAAGAATTTAGAAGAGAAACTACTTTGGCTGTAAACTTGTGCTGTAAACTTTGGAGTTTAATAATTCAATTCTACAGTATTAGTGCTTATCACGATTTCTTTTAATTTTCTTATTTCTCATACTCTTCATTTAATCATTTTTATCCAAGTGAGTAGAATAATTTTCAGAAAATCTCAAAGAATAATTTTTATCAGCTATTGAAAAAAAATATTTAAAAAATAATTGTTAATAACAATTTTTTCAAACTAATGTCGTTGCAATATCTACAAATTATCTTATTATGCTGTTATTATCGAAAACAAAAATGTATATATAATTCATACAAATAGATTTCATAGCCCATAGAATATTTCAGGATAATTACTACGTGTTAAAATGCAAGAAATAGCAATACATAAATTTTCACCGCTCAAACCTTTTTTTAATTCATACCTCACGTTAATTACGCTAATTAATTTACGAACATCATTTTTATGTTAACGCGGTCAGTCATCTGATGAAAAGGCATTCTAATGGCGCAACGTATTATATAACTTATCAAATAAAATCGACTTAATGGAATCTAGCTCGGTACAGAATGACGAGCGGATTTAGCGAATAAAAACGCCGCGCCGAAGACGATGGTACGGCTCGCACAATACATTATACCGTGATATCAGTAAGGATGATCGTATAATCGCGTATTATAATGTTCAGGTAAAAGTTGCTTGTTCGTCACACGTATTTGTGCTACGACAGACGTGATCACGTAACGTGCACATGCGTACGTAATTACCTTTTTTTCTCTTCCTCGCACATACGATCACCATATGGGCCGCCGTTAGTTCAATAGATGAGGATGTCGTAAGCTGTCTACTATAATGCGAAATGCGTTTTATTCGTAAAAGAACTAACGCCAGACGTGCAGAGCGAGAAAACGGTAATTTTACACGCAAGAATTGGAGGACGAGTTAAACCGTTTGAATGATACAAGCACGTAACTGAAGCTATACAAGAAACAGACTATTAATTTGAGATGGATAAAATATGATGAAAACGAATGTCAATTAATAATATGTTTAATGAATTGCTCCGACTGCGCGGCTTCCGCTGATTGAAGAAATTGAAAACGGTTTCAAGTGTCCTGTTTTATGAAAAAACGATTTTATTTTGCACGGTCATTGCCTCGAATGTGTATTAACGATCGGCTTGATTGTAAGCTCGTTACTCTCTGCACGCTTGATGCGCACGATAATAAAAATCTCTCATCTTGATACTGCGTTGTCTATCATCGTACATTAACTGTACTTTAGAAAAAAAAAAGGAATCATTTAATAATTGTCTAATGATATATTTTACACCGTGCACACTGTAAAGCACCCATAGGAAGATAAGAATTTTACGAACACCCAGTGGACTTTCATAAATTAAGATTTCTATGAAAAATAAGATTTCATTTTATTCTTCACGGCAATGCTTGATGAGGTTTCTCACGAAATCTAGTGCTTGACAGTGTAAACTTATTTCGCCAAGAGTAGATACTAGTTTTTAAAGGGATCTTCACACGATTAAACACAGATACTCTGTTAGTATCACACATACTGATAAAATTAGTGTTTATTTACAGTATTATTCTTTTATTCAGATTATTATTATATTAAGAATGAAATTGTCAATATTACAGATTGCTTTGCTATTGTCTATGGAGTATAGATCCTTTGACTTTTATATCCAATGATTAATAGGACATAAAGATTTTAAATATTTATCTAAAAAGAGAGAAGATACGCTCCATGAAAAGAACGCAGGAGAAGAGCAAACAGCTTTTAAACGCTGCTTTGATTGTGGTGAAATGAGATAAAAAAACCAGTTTTTCTTCGTTGCATAAAATTAATATATCTTAATTCTTGCACAAAATTGAAGCTCTCGGAAAAGTGTCATATTCCTTTAAAAACAAAGGTTTAATAAATTTTGTTTTTTTATTTATAAGAAATTCGATACAAAAATAATGATTAAACTACAAAGATAATAAATCTACTTTGCAAAATATACTTGACGCAAAAACATAAAAGAAATATTTGTAGATTGTTTAAAAAATATTGTATTCGTATGTCACTTTCAGCTTCAAATTTCTATTTCTATTACTCATAAAATAGTATATTAAGCTGCAGTATCTACCGATAATATTTGTATCCATAGGGGAAAAATATTAATAATCTAAATAATATGCGTTTATTGTAAAAAAATAATTTACCTTTTTCATCATCCAACTAACTTCACGTCTTAGACGTCCCTAAAATACCATTAAAAATGTTAACGTAGATCTAATGCCCATTTCTACCAATGTAATTTAATTTTAATCTTAATTCAATTCAACTTTTCATCTTTTTTTAATTCTAAAAATAAGAAAAAAAATCATCAATCAAAATTTTAACGTAAGTCTTATGTCCATTTCTACCAAATGTAGATTAACTTTAATCTCAGTTCAATTTAATCTTCATTTTTTTCTAATTCTCAAAATTGAAAAAAGATGAAGAGTTAGTTAAAGTAAAATTAAAATCAATCTACGTTGATAGAAACGAGCCTAAATTGAACGCTTTAAGCGCTATTTGTGTCATCCTTGTTTTACGTCTAATAAACAACGAAGATAGAATGACAAATGTAGCGCTAATCTCGTCTCCCCGAACTGCACTATTAGCCTTCGAATAAGCTCATTGTGTGAGAGTCGCTTTAAAGAGATCGTGTGAGAGCTCCTTAAGAAACCAGCGCGCGAGGTGAAAGCGCCAATTGCGCGCTCTCATTGTCAGTCACGGCCGAGCCGCGAGCTGTACGGTCGCTTCTTTTGTGGTTCTCTCGCAACGCGAAAATCGCCTGAATCAAGTCGTCGCACAAGGAAGACCGAAGTTTCCTCGAAGAAAAAAATCTCTTTTCCTGCGTCGCACAAAAAGCGTGTGCGAAGCGTGATCGATCGCAGACGCGTCTCGCGTTCGCCGGAACTCGCGTCTCACTCGAGTCTCGTCGAGTTGCGCTCCGAGACGAGATGTGGAAATGAGAGAGACGCTGAAGATCCGACGACCCAACACGCAAGGTAAAGGAACGAGAGAGGCCCGCTCGTTTACGCTGCTTGCTCGCGCACGTCCGCGTCCTCGAACACGCTGGATTTCGTCAAATTTCGAACGGAGATCTTCAAATTGGAGAATAATCACGATTCTTACCTCCAAAAGCTGTGGACTCCGGCTTTTTAGACAAATTTCTAGCTCTCCGGCTGATGAAACAGATTTGATGATGTTTCTTTTAGAGAATGCACTACAAAACAGTAACGATTTTAATAGTGACAATCGATTTCTGGCGAAATGATGGAATCTCCAGCAGGAGAAGCGACAACTACAATGATGGACCATTCAAGGAATACACAAAAGTCAAACAAAAATTTAAATGACTTTATCTTAATTTTTAACGTCAATAAACAATCAAATTTTATAATAAAAATTATCATTTTTACTTTCATGATGTTAAAATGAAGTTATTTTTACTTTCTCTTGTTGTGTTCCTTGAGCAGTTGTCGCGGAACTTCCTTCACAAACGTCCTTGATTCGTCGATCGCGCCATCGATGAGAAATCGCCGGCATAATAAACATGTTTTCTAATTGCGTTCTATGTTCAATTTAGAACTTTTCTCACATTTGATTAATTGCGTCTTTACTCCAATTCTAAATGATTTTGTTATATTCGCCAATGCGATGAAGTGTACATTTCATGGGATTTCATTCTTATATTATCTTCTGTATCTGAATCTCTACTCTAGAAAAAGAGTCTGATTGGAATTTTGGTTGAAAATGGACAAATTAAAATTTTCTGGTTCTATTTTCTGATTTCTATTATATTCTATTATATTCTAGTTGAAATAATCACACCGGAAAATTTATTTGGAATTTAAGATATTTCATGTTTCGTTGTTCCCAAACAATCCACTTAAATTTATGTGTTAATTTAACGCCAGATAAATATGTTAGAAGGTTACACAAATATTATTTTAAAAAAATACTGATGACAATTAATACTGATACAATACTGATACTACTGATACAATTTGTAAGCAAATCGTGAAAGTATATTTGTTCAGCAAAATTAACATTTATGATTAAATTAACACATATTTTATTCATTCATCTTGGAATTTACGTTTTAAAACATATTATTTTTATGTTATTTGCTAATTTATTTATAAATTGTATTATTTTAGCATTAAAAAACGTTGAATATCATTTAATACAAATTTAAATAACATAATCATATTAAGTTAAATTAACACTCGAATGTTAAAACTTTAAGAGTAGATCTTTTTCAACACAAATACGAAATGTTTTTTACTGTACAAAATTCTGATATGATCAGAATCTTCTGGTTCGTTCATTTTCAAGAAATATTCTCAGTATCTGTTAACAATTTGAATGTAGATTTGATTAGATGGATTAATTCATCAAAATTTCTATCTCGTTTTAACATAAATTGTCACAGCTAGACGATGCTCGTAAGTTACTCTTAGGGAAGCAGCGCGGAAAAGTAATCAGAGTTTCTACTTTCTTCTGAGAGATTGCAAAGAAGATCATAGTAAACTACACTCTCTTTTCCTCTCAGAAAAGCTCGTTCGAATTCATGCTCGTCATCATTCGCGATTCGCAATGAATCTTGATTTATCCGTGAAATCTTCGAGGACGTTTGAACAAATATTTCGATATATATTTTTCGATGACGTGCGTATTACATAAAGCTATCGATTGCCAGCTAACTCGGTAAAACGAAAGTTCGTCATCGTCGATGGACATGAAATTCCATTGTGGTGAGGAATCTGATCGCATATTTCGCCATATTTGACTCACCTCGTGCCTGTTTGTCCTTATCGCGTTGTCTCCCAGTATATCCTCTCGCGTTCCCTCGTTGGTCATGTTCATAATCCAACGCGCGTGGGTGAGAGCGTGCGTGCCTCTGGTTTCTTCGGTTTTGGTCTGGCGAGTCTGATCTTGAAACCGGATGATTTCAAGTGGCCGTCAGCCTAGGCGGCGGATCGGTACTTCTCATCGGCGGCGAGGCGCAAAAGACCGCTGAGGAATGGAAATCGGCGGGCCGGGGCGACGATCTGCCACGGAGAACTCAGGGCCTGGTGCAACTGCGCGTCATCAGTCTCGACGATGATGTGGATACCCAGGAGACGTCATGTTATGTGCACGAAGGTACCTATGCGTGGTACCTTAAAAAACGCTAAAAACGTCTCAAAGAGATGAAAAATAAAGTCGATCGCGGATTTTTTATTGATGTCTGACGTTACGTTTAAGTCCCCAGCAAACTAGAATAGATTGAATTGAAATGGATTTATATTTTCAGAAATATCGATTCACGAATGTTAAAATGAATGCTTTTCAATCCTGAATGCATTTTTATTTATTTATAGGAATTGTATAAAGCATATCCCTATGCCTTTCAATCTAAAAATAATATTAGCTTTTTCTGTACATTGTGAATACTGTTCAATTCAAAATTTTGAATAGGAAATGCAATTTTTCAATCCAATTGCATCCAATTGAATCTAATTAAATCCAATTAAATTCAAAAAAAAGTATTCGCTATTTAAAATACGCATTCGATTAGAAAAAAATTTCAATCCATTTTAATTCATTCTTGTTTGCTGGGTCTTCTTTCTTCGTGGTATATTATTAATACCTTTACCAATATAAATTAAGTTTAATCTTTACCTTGATTTTCATATTTTTCTAATTTTTAGAACTGGAAAAAGATGAGTTAGTAATTGAATTAAGATTAAAATTAAATTATATCAGTAGAAATGGACAGAACTAGAGAAAGATGAAGAGTTAATTGAACTAAAATTAAAATTAAATTACTTAGTAGAAACGAGCATAAGACAAACATAAATTTAAGTATTGATTGTCAGAAAACGTTTCAATGAACAGCACTGTATTTCTACCTGATCTAATATTATTTTTCAAATATATATCCTTGCAACAGCCTGAAGATATTTAACACGTTTCGTGTTGCGATAATTTTAAATGATTTATTCTGTACTATGCTATGTAGATCACTGGTAATCTACGATATTTTTGTTTGTATTTATTATATTTATTTAAATAAATTAAAATTAAAGCTTTATACATCCATTTTACATGATTATGATTATAAATCAATTAAAAATTATACATATTATAATTACATTTCTTTTTACAACCTGGATTTCACTGGTATTATCTAAAAACTATTTTAGTTTCATTGCAAACTCTTATATATATATAGTATAAAAATTAGGATATAATATTAATCTATATTTTAAAAATCCTTTCTACAAACAATTATACAAAAACACTTTCTCATTTAAAGTTAAAAAAGGAGCGAAAAATGGGATATAACATTCTCATGATAGCTCGATAACTTTCAGTTTTCCTGATCGGACTTTTTCTTTATCAGACAACATTTCCGATGATAGTACATACGAGAGTCTGTATTCCTGCCAACCGGATGACCTCAGCAGCGATTCAGAGACGGAAACGGACATTACGCGACAATCCCGCAGTGATCGCGTGATCGATGCTTATTTGGAATGTCCTACAAGACCGACTCCACCACCACCAAGGGAGGCCAGTCTAACTCAGTCCTTGGGCAGGCGAATAAAGATGCTACGTAGAACCTGGAGCATCACCAAAGGCAGTCTCGGCAGGATCAGGCGGCGGACATCCGTCGACGAGTCTGGCTTTGATGACAAGGAACAATCCGTCAATGAACCTCACGTCGACGTTGGAAAGTATTTCAATTTCCGGTTGAAGCATTTCAGCCGAAAGAGCATCGTTGGCCCGCCGACTTTCTATCTCGATGAGAACAACAGAAATGATGGCATTCACGATAATAACAATGGCATCGTCAAGGAGGCGATTTATACCAATAGCCAATATATGGGAAGCGGCAGTGACGATTCTTCAAGGACTCCGACAAGCACCGATGTCGGTGAGTCTCAATAGAATTTCCAAATTGTCTTTTTTTTCTCTTCTAATTTACAATAAGATGTGCACGATAATACTGAGTTCTATACGAATGGATGTGCTATTCTAAATTGATAAATAAATGTAAATTAAATTATTGTATGGATATTAATATCTTAAAAGCAGAAGTATTATTACAGATAGTTGCCTAACAATAAGATTTCAAGAACGCAGAATGCTCTGTAGATAATTCGATGTAAATTTATTTAAATAATAAATTAGACATTACAAATGGTCGCAAAAGAAAACGAGTTTTATTGACGCGTTTATGAAAGTGACCTGATTTTACCAAGCATAGGCTAAATTCAGTGATTTTCATCAGCCAAATAACAAGTTTTTGCTCTACAGTTTTTGATATTCTCATATGCATAAGAATTCCATTCGCTGCACCGACGCGTCGAAAAAGCGCACATTTGTACACTTTCACGGGACTTTAATGGTACTTCCTACTATAATTAATTAACGTACACAGAAAGATTTATGCGAAAGATTTATGCGCGTTCATTTTTTGATTGTTCTTTCATAAATTACGGAAATCAGCTGCATTGACAAAATATTATTATTTTAGATCATTACAGTGTGCTCGCCGATCAGGAACCTCTCTACCAGTTTTATGCAGCCGCGGTGGCTCGTGTTGCTTTCGAATCGGATTCCGAAGGCTACGAAGAGGTAATGTTTCTTACATTAGTTAAAATTCATATATGAGGCATTCTTCCAAAGAAATTTCTTCAATGATGTTTTTACTGATGATTTTTGTAAATAAAACATGTTAATGTATTCTTAATTATATGTATAACATGTAAAGAGATTTTTTTTTATTAATTTTAAATTCTTATAAATGATTAGATTTTTATAAACGATTAGATTTTTTAGCACCTATTCTTTCTTGCCCGGATTTTTACTGTCTTCAATTAAGAAGAATTAACAAGAATTCTTATTTTCTTTACAGTTATTTAAAAAATAAAAGTTTTAATTCTTTTTTCTTATATTTTTTTTTATTGTATGGTTTACTAAAAGAATTTTTAATTTTAAAACTATATGATTTTGACAAATTATTTTTTGATTGATGACAAATTATTTTTTGTATAATATTTTACGATTTATAAAATTTGAACAACACGGTGCTACTTTACACGACGTTGCTATATAATTTTTCATTTACAGGTAGAAGATATGATGAGGAAGACGGAACCAGCCACAGCGGATCTTACCAGAGCAGGACAAAGAATGCTATGGTGTCATACTCCACAAGTGATACATAGTGACCTCTTACGTAAGTTAAACAATATAATGTACATTTAATTAGAAAAATATTTTTCATATGTAGTAAAGTATAAAGAATAAGAAGATATCAAAAAAATTAGCAAAAGAATTTCAATATTAGAGAAGTTAACATCCTTCCGAAGCGTCGTACTTAAATTCTCTTCGAGTCCTAGAGAATGAGTTCCTCAATAATCATATACTAATAAATGAGATTCTAACGCCGATCGAAAGAAAGAAATTGTTTGGTGGGGTGCCAAGCGTATTGTCGGCATCGCAAACGTTCCTAGCTGAATTAGAAGCTGTGTGGAGAGAAGATCCGATGTTGCCGGGTTTATCGGAAGTCTTGTTGAAACACGCCGAAAAGTGTCAGGCCACATACGTAGCGTATTGCTCGAATCAAGTCAGCATAGACACAACCCTGAAAGAACTCAAGTAAGATAATTAGCGATGTCATAAAATCGCATTTTATATTTGTATTTTGTAGCAGATTTAGATAAAATATATTTTTGTTCGTCATAGTAATAGTTATTATATTTATTCTATTGCAGAGCTCGGAGAGGTGTAAAGTTCTTGGAGACTGTTAAACGCATAGAAATGCAACCAGCATGCCAAAATCTATCTCTACATTCCTTCTTAATGTTACCAATGCAGCGCGTTACAAGGTGGGTATAATATGATATGAATATCAAATAATCCTCTTTAAGACGCCTTGTGTTTCAATTTTGGACATGTTGTCTGGATACACAATTACTGTCTTGACATATTAAAGTTATTTAGTATTGTATGTTAATGTAAATATGTTAATTTTACATTTCACGTAATTATTATTAATCGAGTTATGTAGAATTAAAGATATTATTTACACGTCAATAATTTTGCGTAGACTACCCTTATTAGCTGACGCTATTCTTTCCAAATTATCAATGGGAAATTCGGACAGAATATCTTGGGAAAAGGTCTTATCGACTTTAAGTAACGTCGTTGCTGAATGCAACGAAGGTGCGCGAGCTGCTGCACAGGAAGCCGAAATGGAAGCTTTGGCAAGGTATTGTATGCTATATTATTACTTAATATTATATATTCATTCTTTTACATGTTATGTATTATGAAATAAAAGTTACATGTTTTTAACACAGGAAACTGGAGTATACCTCGAAAATTAAACCAATCATGCTGAGAGGCAAGCAGTTAGTTCGAAGTGGATCGGTCGTGCAATTGTCGACGAAAACGGACACTGAATATAAGCTTACATTCGGAAAGAAATTTACCAAGACACCACTCTACCTTTTGTTACTCACTGATTATCTTCTAGTCACGAAATTGAAATCTAAGTAAGATATTATTTAACATAATTGCGTTTGTTTGTCTCGTTGCATTGTAATTCTGATTTCTACCAAACTTTCTTCTACAAAACTGGTTTCATTATAATTTTTATGAGAAAGAGAGAGAGTCGTAAATCTTTGCTTTTTACTTTGGAAAATTGATTTTATTTAACTTATTTTTTATTATTATTGTTAGAAGATTTATATCTTTTAAGGGATAATACAGTTCAGTATATATCAACAAGATATTATTAAAAACAGCAAGACCATCTTAAAATTATGGAGATGTCTTATGGAATTATCAAAAAGACATTCGTATGTCTTTGAAATATCTTACGTTTAGATTTTTATGAAATCTTTGAATATTGTTTTAAAAGTTGTCTTTCAGATACCTTATTTTTATACAGAAAAAACTCGAATAAATGGATTTTTAGAAAAGCAACTTATATTATAAAAAGCTTTACAATATCTTTTCTATAGGTTTCCTTTTTCGAATAAATTCTTTTATTAATAACGAAGTTTAAAATAAAATACTTTGCAGTGCTCATGACGAATGCTACACCGTCATAGACGCGTGCAAACGGAATCTTCTGGCTCTAGAGTCGGCTTCCGAAGAATCGCCATTCGCCGGACGAAACGCTATGATACTGACTTTTCTGGAGAATCATTGCGGTCGTCACGTAGAATACATCTTAACGTGTGAAAATAACACAGAACGAGAACGATGGCTGGAGGCTGTCTCACCACCCAAACGTGGTTTAGTTGGGGAAACGTTATATGAATCTTGGGACTGCCCGCAAGTTATGGCCAAATATCCATATTTGCCAAATCAACCTGATGAGTTGTCATTACAATCAGGTAATATATTTATGTCATAACCTTTTTTATGAATGTTCCGTATATATTATTAAATAGATATTATCAATAGAATTGTTTTGACTTTAAGAAAAAAAAACAATATTTTCTTAATGAGAATTTATTATCTTCTTTAAAGAGTTTCATAAATTTCCAAATTAAATATAAAATTTAATATTTATAAAATATCTCTTATATATATAAAGTAATTGAAAAATAATTGAAAACTTAGAAGTACACTCTATTAGTTTTTTCATAAAATTTGATTCTTCAAAAAACGTTTCCTCTTATAATGCTCAATAATTCAATAATTATATATTTCCATAAAAATATGTTATAATGAAAAAAATCATGATTCTAGCGAATTTTCAAATATTGTTCTCTAGGGGACGTAATAAACGTATTGAGGAAAATGGCAGATGGCTGGTATCACGGTGAAAAATTATTAGACGGCGAGCAAGGATGGTTTCCGGCAAATCACACGAAGGAGGTTGCATCGGAACACGTGCGCGCACGAAATTTGAAGCAACGACATCGTCTTTTAGCACTTAGCAACAGTGTAATACAGCAAAGAAGAGCGAGACAAGGGTATTAGGTGATTCATTGACGAAATTAAAATGTGATCTGAGCTCGAATCACTCAGATATTGTGATCATTAATAAATTATTTGTTATATACACGATTTCTACGATATTTCAGTATTGAATATTTCAATTAAGGTATTTCTCCGAGAAATTGAGTTTCTACAGATTTTTTTGAAAAATAAATATGTAATATAGGAACCTTATAAAAAAAATGGAGAGGCTTAGCGGTATCGTTTTTAAATCAGAGTAGTTTAAATTTGCAATTCAAAATTTGCAAATTCTTTTTCTCGCACGCCGAACGGCGAGACAGGGACATGCTGATGTCACATTTCAATTGTCTTCAGTGCGGACTAGTGTTCGTGCACACAGATAAGACATTTATGCGTGTGTGTACGTTCACCTCAAAAATTTCTCTCTTCAGAGAGTACGCGCGGAGAGGCATGTTCGTAAATTACGTGATTAATTTTCTAGCACGATTGTAGCCGGAGAAATACCTTGACTTATGTGCCAATGTAACATCAATCGTCAAAGTGAAAAACAATTTTTTGAAATCTTTTAGGCCCAGTTGCACCAATGTTACTTCGATTTTAAGCGAAACTTTAAATTCTCTCTATCTTGTTTTAAAACCGAAAAGAGACAGGAACAAAGCCTCGCTTAAAATTAAAGTAACGTTGGTGCAACCGGGTCTTATTGTAGTAGACTGGAGTTACAAAAAGCTGACACGAGAGATAATGATATATTTTATATTTTACATGTATATTGTATATAAAGGCGTGGAGAAAGGAAAAATAGAATGTTGTAACAAAAGTATGAGTTATTTATTATTTTTATACAAATACAATATAAACGTTATTTCATATATTTCTTTATTCTTAAATATATCTTCGACTTGAAGTATGAGAATGTTTGAAATTGAAAAAGTTGAAAATAAAAGTGAATAAAAATTTGTGATGAATGTTGAAAATGCAGTTTTTACAAATGCATAATACAGTCTTATATAATATACAGAGTGTTCATTCTAATCTTAAGGCAAATATTTCAGATATATCATTTTATCGAAAAACATTCTCGATAAAAATTCATTCTCACCCTCTATATCATATAATTTTTATTCAAAATGTCTTTCTGATAAAATTACATTTGTACAAGATATTTGTCTGTTAAGAATAAAATGAATCACCTTGTACAAAAGGTGTTCTTAACTTATGAATATATCATAAGATTTTTATTATATTAAATAATAATGAAAGAAATATTCTGCAATTATGTAGAATTTTCTAAATATTATAAAAAACAATGTATTTGACATATATTGATATAAATAATATATTAACTTCGATAGAAAGTAAATCGACATCGACACAAAATATCGACGTGAATTTTTCATTACATTTTTGCGAATTAGAAGTTTGTTTCCATTTATTTGAGACTAATGTTCGTCCAAAGATATTTATAAAATCAAATATATTTACTCATAAAAAAATATATGTTCAGAAAATTTTTGAATTTCTTGTCTCATCATATTTTTGACGTTCAGATAGTCTCTAAAAAAATCATTGCACATGAATTTTCAATGGCATAAAAATAACATATAAATATATCAATCAATAATGAATATTCAAAATCGTTAATTAAAAATTTATTAATCAAGTCGCTTATACGTTATAATTATGCCATTATCTAAACTGATTACGATATTGATCAATTGATAGATTTATCACAACATGTATTGAATGGTATTCTTATCAAGCAAACAATTGACTGCGATACATCAGTATTAAATGCGTGTCTTGGAATGTCCAGACGGTTTCACGTCGAACAATTTTCTGACGAAATATACTTGGATCATAGTTGTCAACGTAATGACAGTTACTTGCGCGATCGACCATGTTTGCACATAAGAATTATTGTCCAACAGTAGATTCAAATCTCTTGCTTCTCTGCTTCTACTCCAATGTTGAGTATGAAGCATCTCATTAATGTTTTTCTCCACATTCACGATTGTACTCTGAAAGAGAGAAAGATAATGATAATAATAATACAATAGATAATGATAATACAATAATATAACATATAATGTATTATATATTTTTAATTGTACATTATATAATATACATAATATATATAACATATATACATATATTTATATACATATATATAAATATATACATATATTTATTAGTAATATGTATATGTATTACATTATACATATATACTAATATATAAATTAATTTGTAATGTACCGTAAAGTTCTCGACAGAAAGATTCAGTTCTTCTAATTCCTGTGTATATTTCTGCCACTTATCATACCTACAACAACAGTTAAGATTTCTATTTATTCATCACTCTATCTCAGACTGTGATTGTGACTAACAGATTGTGTGTGAAAATAATAGATATCCTTTACTATGTCTTCATTTTTCTGACACAACATATATTTTTGTTAAATTAGTTGTTTTACCTAATCACTGTGATGTACAGATTGATTAATTTTGCAGCAAATCTTGAAAACTGGTTATCAATGCATACACTATAATAACCACCATTTAACGATTGATCCTGATAATCAGCGTTAGGGCGCCATTGATAAGGATAAACTATGACTCCTTCTGGATTTCTTACTGCGAAACCAGCTTTGCCATCTCCACCACGCAAGACCTACAATTAAAACAAACTGCTTGAATTAATATAATATTGATATAGCCATATATATGCTAATTATTTTCTATTATTCCAACATTGTGTCTATGCAACATGCTTTCTCTTATAATCTATTTACTCTGTTACTAAAGTTCTTTAAATGCAATTTTTAATAAAAAATTCTTAAAAAATTGTGTATGTCAGACATAAAATAATTATTTGCATACAATCAGACAAAGATTATCAATTTCAAGGTCTTACAGAATTACAATACAAAAGAAAGGTACAACTTTTTGATGACTATTCAGGAATCATTTTAGTTCTACATTTTCTTATGTATTTTTTTTTTATGGAAATCAAAAATTATCATTATGATGCTATACTCAAGGAAAGATTGGTATATTGAAATAAAGTTAATAAAATTCTTATTGACATTGTTACGAAATAGCTGTCAGTTACGCTTCAATCATTTAAAAATTGTACACACATATACACACATAAAATATATTATATTATAGATATATATTATATATATATATTTATAGTTAGATCAATAATTTTAAATTAGTTTTTATACTGACAGTTTCATAACAATTGTGAATAAAGATTTTATTTTTATTTCAAGTACCAATTTTTTCTTGAGTCATTATTGCAATAATTATTATTGGTTTCTATGAAGAAAAATACATAAGAAAATGTAAAAATAAAATGATCCCCGAATAGTCACGAAAATTTGAAATTTGTACTCTTCTTACAGATATACATCTCCTGGAAAATAAAACAAAATCACGTTTTTCTCAGCGTGATGGACAATCATGAAATTTGCGAATGTGCATGAGCTATTAGAGCAAAATGCTCATAAGTTGTATGCTCCTCTCCGAATTATATAGAGGAAGATATCTCGAGTAAAAGTTGTCTCCAACTCCACGCAACCATATGGTCAACCAAGCGAGTCGCATTTCAATACTCATATCCAATTTCTCATCATCCAAAACGGCTCACCACAGCTCGCCATTGAAAGACATCCAAACCGATGATACCTGAAAGCTGACGTAAAATGTTGCACCCGGATTTACATATTGGAAGTAGCAGTCCTCCTTGCCGGCGTCAACATGCACCTTGTAGTCCATCGCGACCGCGGGCAAATTTTCGTAAGAGAAACCATTGGTCGGCGGCATAACCAGAATTAAGGAGAACACGCCAAATAGTACGGTGCCGAACTGTACGAAGAGGGACATCGCAACTCGATGAGCATCACAGTAAAATGACGTCGGCAAAAGCCACGCGAGATCGTCAGACTCGCTAATTGACTGACCACGCGCAATACTGGAGCACTGGAGCCACTAGAAGATTAGTTCCTACTTCCTCAATCAGAACGACAAAACGGAGCAGTGCTTTATGCGCATGTATAAACGTACGTCATCGACCACGTGACAGACACGATGAACTCATTCTTTATATAAGGATTTCTATATAAATTTCAAAATTTTTCACAAATTCTTTATGATTTTATAACTTTTTGAAAAATTTCTCAAATTGTACAAATTGGAATACTTTCCAGAATATTGAGAAATTCGAAAAATAGTATACGATATCTTTTTTATATATGTTATAAATTCGAAAATATTTTAAAGGTATTTATTATAGTCTTCTTATATATTATAGATATTTAAAACCCACAAAAATTAAATTAATCACAAAGTGTATTTTAAAATATATTGCTCAAAATGTGATCGAGTAAATATATCATAGAATCATCGACATATAGAATAGAATATTTGGGCTGATATTCATAGTCGGTTCTTTTTATATTTAAAACTGTCTTAAATACAATATTCAACTTAAGATATCATAAGCCAATCACAAAACAGTATTAGCATCTTAAACATTACTTCAAGACAGTCTTTTCTTCTTCTTCTTAAAAGTTTCCTGTAAGGATTTTTAGCCCTCTATGATGGGGTACAGTATCATATGAAATAAGAGAGTCTTAAAATAAGAGCTATGTAAAAAAAAGCAGAATGGACAGTAACGTAAAGAAAATGCGGAGCTATCCAATTAGAATAATCCTGTCCCTCTTTTTCATAATTGGACTCCTTATGATTGATTAACTCCTGTTTCCTTTCCATTATTGTTCCATTTCGCTTCTTCCTTCTCTATCCAAACGTACCTTCAAGGTACAATTTCACAAGCCACTCAAACCGGCGGTTTCAGAGACAAAAAGGAGGATCACGGTCAAATTAATATTGTTCAATCAAATTAATAAATATCTGATGAATATCAAGTGTCAGTTTTAATTTTGAGAATCAGATAACCAATCCAAAATCGTTACTTCATTGTCTTAACTTTTATTATAAGAATATTAAAGAAAAAGAATGAAGAAAGAGATAATATTAATATACTGTATAAACATTAAAAAGTATTATAACAAAATTTACTTTAATTTGTAAAACTGTTACAACTGTAGTATAAGTATATGTTTAAAGATTGAAAATAATTTTGGCGCGCAATTGTAGAACTGTATATTTAAAATCATGCGAAAATGTTTTTTTAGCATAAGATGCAGCATAAACTGATAACTACTTTTCGTTACTGGATTCAAATTGCACTAAATTAAAAATAATTAATATTTATAAATATTTTAATAATATTTCAGGGATATTAAGATATTATATAAGTGAACATATAGAAGACCTCTATAGAATATACTCTCATAATATTAAAAAATATTATATGGTATCTTCGAAATATTATAATAACTTATTTTAATTTTTTAATAATAATCATATAACATTCTAGGAATATTTTGCGCTTATAGGGATATATTTGAACTTAAGTTGTAGACTTGAACTTAAGTTGTAAGCAACGCACAAGCCTTAGGGTATATCCACACAAACTTGCATAGCTGCATAAAGAAAATTATCCAATCACATTTTACGTTGCGTCTTTATAGGAGAAATGCGATTGGATAATTTTCTTTATGCGACTATGCAAGTTTGTATGAATGTACCTTTATCCAGAACTATCTACTATGAGTGTTTTCCATTTGATGATACAAGTCGACACAAGTGTCGTTCTATCTTCGTCACTTTCTGAATATCAACAAGGATAGAATGACATTTATGTCGACTTGTGTCAATTACGTCATCAAATGGAAAACACCCATAGAGTTTTAAGCCATAAGAAATGGACGAATCATAATCGATTATTCTCCTCGAATTCGATCGTAATTGATCAATTTTTTACAACTTAAGGCTCAAAACACCTATTATAGATCTGGGGTTAACATGAGACTGAAGCCTATTCTATAATGCACTTTTTGTTTTCCGTTTCTTGCTTTTTATCTTTTACTTTTTTCTCCTTTACAATCGTTTTATAGATAATTATATTTCTTGTTTCTTTCGAAGTACATAATTTTTATCTCGGACGACATAAAACATAAAATCGGATATGAAGCAAAAAAACAAGATGTAACGCTGATTCTGCAATAAGTCGGTAATTCTAAGTCTTATCGGTGAAGTTGACCAATAGCCAACTTGTATAACTAAGGCTGATTGGCCAACTTCAGCGATTAAGACTAAGCTTCCGACTACCAACTCATTGTAGAATCAACATAAAAAATAGAATAGCATAAAAAGCAAGAAACAGGAAACAAAAAGCACATTGTAGAATAGGCTTTATTGCAGTCTCTTGAAAACACAGCAACAAGTTGTACGTCATACGTTGTACGTTATTTAATACATCTACAACTTAAGTCTAAGAGTAAACGTTACGACAATTCTTATATTCAGACCCTAATTATTCGCGTAATACCGACACAATACTTTGTAATGTAGGTATTATATATATCGTCGGTGGTCCCCACTCTGAAGTCTGAAATATCGTCTCAAGCACGCAATCGGGAAACGATAGAAAGTAATAGTCATAAATGAGATAAAGAGCACGTAGCAAGTCGTCCAGGATTTTCACTACCATTCGATACGTGTCGTCAAAGTGGTGACGTGCTACAAATGGTGTATCGTGAATTCTTGAGAAGTAAGTGTCCGCCGTAAATTCGGTCACGGGAGCGCTTCCATCGCATTCTTGCAGACATCAGTAGTCGAATAAAACCGGGTATAAACCAAACACATAAGTGCGAACGAACACGAATGAACAATCCGTCTCGACGTAGCGGCGGTTATTTGTAGTCATTTGTTCCCCCGATGAAAATAAAAATCAGAGAGTAAGTCGAATGTAATGGGAGAGTAACAGAAGCGTAAATGCTTCTTTTACATTTCATTGTTTCAATTTTCGCCTTTTAGGTTTAGAGTTTCGTTTACGTTTCTGTTACTCTTCAATTACATCCCATTTACGCTCCAATTTTTATTTTCATCAGGGTCACGTTTGATCGCGTTTTTTCGCGAACGAGCTTCGAGTTTCACCGTGATCGACAAGTTGCGATGTGAAAGTTAAAAGAAAAAAATGAGAAGGACATTGAGTCCTTTAATAAGTGAAGAATAATTGACCAATGTAATGATGGAAATTCGAATGGACTATATTTGAGTCGTACTTATAGAATAAATTGCTGAAACGTTTTTTACTGAAAAATTGAGTTAAAAAAAATGGAGGAACTGTTTTCATAATTCTCATCATTAAAAAGTGACTGAGAGATCTAATGAAGGAATCGCAGGAGTTGCTTACTTCTTGGAAATAAATTAAGATCAAGTTTTTTTTTTAATTTACGTGAAAGTACATGTGCGCATGTGCAACAATAAGTTATACACGTGTAATTAAGGAATCGAGAATTAATAGCGAAAATACCTGAAAACTAATTTATTATTATTTTCAAAAACTATTAGGTGTTGGAATTAATTCGTAGCGTTTTACAAGTGATGGGAAGTACTTTCATTAATGTATTTTTTAATGCTCATGTGAAATAAATAACATTCTTTCATTAAAAACGCTACGAATTAATTCCAACACCTAATACTATCGTCGTTCCAATGTCATTAATACCAGTACTTTGTGCACTTCGATTTTACTTATGTAAGTAGCGAGCGCGCAGAAATTCGTGTTCATCAACACTCACTAATACTACTATATAATGACTCATGGACAGATAATCATCTAAGAATCCAGTGTCCTCATCTTCAGAAATAAATAATAATGTGATAATTTATAAAAGTAGGCTAATGAAAGTTAGCGCAGATAAACGGCACAAATTATTATTAAATAATTTAATACTCTGTAGTTGGAATGATGTCTTCTTTATTTTCAAGTAAATTCATTTTCAGATAAAGGAGACATCATTCCAACTACAAAATATTAAATTATTTCGTAATAATTTGCGCCGTTTATCTGCATTGACCTCTCATTATCCAGCAAACGAGAATGGATTAAAATGGCTTGAAATTTTTTTCTATCCGAATGCGTATTTTAAATAGCGAATACTTTTTTTGGATTTAATTGGATCCAATTGGATTCAATTAGATTTAAGTGGATGCAATTGAATTGAAAATTGCATTTTCTATTCAAAATTTTGAATTGAACAGTATTCACAATTATATGTGTTGTGCATAGAAAAAGCTAACATTATTTTTAGATTGAAAGGCATAGAGATATGCTCCATGTAAATCCTATAAATGAATAAAAATGCATTCAGGATTGAAAAGCATTCATTTTAACATTCGTGAATCAATATTTCTGAAAATCTGAATTCATTTCAATTCATTTCAATTCATTCTCGTTTGCTGGGGGTAACAATCCGTAGTTACGATCTAAAAATTTCCGGCTAAAATAAAAATTTATAAACATTTTCTTTAATTTTTGAACTATCTTAGTATATTTTGAGTCGCGAATTTTGAATCACCCTATATAAGCTGCATTCACATTCTTGAATCACTTCATCCTTGTTAAAAAAGAATACAAATAATGCTTCCGAACGTTGCGAATGTGAACCGGACTGTAACTATAGAGGTTAATGTAAGTTCAATTAATGGACGTGAAAATTTCGTCGTGAAGTCCGCGAATGAACCGATTGATGCAACGTACAGCCGTTGTTGCGAGTTGCAATTCGGCGGAAATAGCCGGTGCGTCATCATAGTGTTTATGTCGCGTAATAATTGCGCATTCGACGACAACCAATCATAACGGAAGGATTAAGAAAGTCGACGGCGGCGGTCCGAGTCGATGTATATTTAGCCTGTCGAAGTCGCAGACTTCACGGGATGCAACATTCATATCTATCGGGAACGTGTCGTCTCCCACCACGCGCCTGTCGCAATGTCGCATTCGCGTTTACCGATTATGCAATTGAGCTGTAATATTTTGCGAACGAAGAAAGTTACGCATTATCGATTATGATCGCGAATGTATGTTTCTTGCGCGACGGCGAACGCGAGGAACGAAGGCGCATGAATTCGTCGGTGCACGCGCAATGACATGCGCGTGTATGTGCATGCGTGTTTAATTAATTTTTTTGCAACGTTTCAAAAGTCACTTATTAGTCGGAGATAATGATTTGATTTCTTTCTTTACGAGAACATTCGGAAAGAGGATGTAGAAAAAGTGACATTATCTCATGACAAAATGATTTTACATTCTTATCTAATCATGTTTACTTAATTAATCTTCCGTTCTTACAGTTTTTATTGTTTATTTATATTCTTATCTCAGTTTGATATTATTCTCAGTTATTTAGCATTGAATGTTAATGCTCAGGAGATAATTATCGTATAACAGAAAGTGTTGTTGAATGTTAGTGAAACTCTCTTTTAAAGAAGCAGATCAAGATGAGTGTATTAATTAATACAATATATTTTTTATTGTTTTTAGAGAATGGCAGGTGTATATGTGATAGGACTGCTGTTGTTAGGAGGAGCAGCAGCGTGGACCGTTGATATTGCACATGACATAACTGTACATATGAATCAAGTAATATCAGTCCCATTCAGTGTACATAATAATAATAATAATAATAATATATCCAATCCACATATGTGGTATTTTAACACCGACCAACATATCGCAAAATTAAGTTCTCAATTTACAAAATCAAACAAAACTTCTTTTAGTGGTATTTTTAATATCACTGGCGTATTCCTTGGTAGGACGACATTAACGTTTACTATAACGGAAATGGGGGTAAGTGTTAAATAAATATTTCATTTTATTGTTCTCTCTCTCTCTCTCTCTCTCTCTCTCTCTCTCTTTCTCTTTAGAATAATCAAAATTTCTTTTCTTTTAGATTAAGGAGGATCAAGAAGTAGCTGTTATTACCGTAATACGAGAGGAACGCACAATAGACTCTGTATTTACTGCCAGTGTAGCAATACTTGTATCCATTTTGTATATTAATTTTGGCTGTGCTATAGATTGGAATGTATGTCGCAATACATTAAGAAGGCCAATAGGTCCAGCCATAGGTTTCTTCTGCCAGTTTCTGATCATGCCATTGGTAAATCATAAACATACAAGATGTTTCAGTTGATGTATACAGGTATTATAGGTCTGTTTTTATTCCTGCACTAAACTGCACTAGAATTGTCTTCCTTGCTTTCATCAAATTTAAACATCTACTTATCTCATTTTAAGTTTCAAAAGTGTACACTGATTCAGCCATAAAAAAACAGACCTGTGCTTAATGTACTTTTATTTGCCCTTTTGTCAGTCAGATTTTTTATGATCTTGATTTTACATTATTTCCAGTTAAGTTTTTTCATTGGATATCTTTTATTTCCTGATCATCCTGAACTGCAAATAGGCATGTTCTTCACAGGGATAAGTCCGAGTGGTGGCGCTTCTAATATGTGGACACTGTTACTTGATGGCAATCTGAATCTTTCAATCACAATGACCACTATATGTACCATTGGTGCATTTGGTAAGTAATATGTAACATAAAAGTAATTCTTGTATTCTTATATATAAAATTTTACTGTTCTTTAAAGGAATGATGCCATTTTGGGTCTTCACATTGGGTAGATATATCTTCGCACAGGGAAAAATCGCAGTTCCCTATCAGCATATCGGAACTTTCGTGATTGGTCTTATAATTCCACTGGCCATAGGATTTATCATTCAAAAAAAGTTTCCAAGAGTGTCGAAGATATTGGTTCGAGTAATGAAACCTTTCTCTGTGATTTTAATTATATTTATCATTATATTTGCCATCATGACTAATCTATATATATTTAAACTGTTTACATGGAAGGTAAGTCTATATTTTTTTTTACAAATTCACTAATATACAAATTTTTTTAATTTGATTTTTTTTTATCACAGATCATAATCGCAGGAATGGGTTTACCCTGGTTAGGCTTTACATTTGGTTTTATAATAGCGTATATTTGCAAGCAATCTCAAGCTGATATACGGGCGATTGCCATTGAAACTGGTATTCAGAATACAGGCGTAGCGATCTTTTTATTACGATTTACATTGAAGCCACCCGCTGACGACCTAACTACTGGTAAATATGTACATGAATATATGCATACACAAGTTATCTTAATCATCTAACAAAATATTTTCTGTTTAGTGGTTCCTGTATCTGCCGCAATGATGACACCGGTACCATTAGCAATTTTATTTATAATAAAATTGATTTATAAATACAAGCAAAAAAAAACGGCAAAAGGGACACTACAGTCTGCCCCGTCGTTCGAAAAACTCCAACAAACTACAAATGTTTCTACGCAATTAAATGAATCTAAATCATTTGATCGTGCAGAATAATAAATTCTTTGTTTATGCATTAATAATATATAAGAAAGAACTATATTTTTTATATATTTTATATATTAATGTTGAAAAGCTTTAAATTTTGATAAGAATGGGCTGGTTGTGGATATATCATATTATATATAATGTCTATATCTATTGTTACTTATCAAATAGTAATTTAAAATTTGTATGTTTTTTTTTATGTCGATGATGCTTATACACTAGTTTATAGCAAACAAAATAATTTAAATCGGATAGACATATAAAATTTTTGAATGCGAGCCTTGTATTTGAAAAATATTGCCTACAAAAATAATAGGGAAATCTATCTGACATACGTAATATATACGTAGTATGACTTTTATATTTTTGTATGCGATATTTTTCAAGAATACAGCTCGTGAAAACATGATATCACAAGCGAGAAAATTCCAGCACGTCAGGCTTTCAAGATAATTGAAATTTAATATTCTAAAAATGGCTTTTTTGATATTTAAAATTTTTTGTAAAGAATTCGTTCATCATCAGAATTTCAAGATGACGTCAACTATTTGAAAAAGAAATAAATATCACAAAATCTGTTTTACATATTAAATCTCAATTATTTTGAAAACCTGACGTGCTATTGAAATTTTATTTGCAGTATCGTTTTCTGCATTTAAAAATCTATAAGAAATGCATTGTGTAAATTAAAGTAATTAAAAAAGAAAAATTTTTTTTAATTAGTGTAATTGTAACAATAATTTGATTTATTTATCTATAAGGCTAATTTTATAATGTGCTTTTTGTTTTCTTGCTGTTTGTCCCTTGTCTTATTGACCAAAAAGGCAAGAGATAAACAGCAAGAAATAGGAAACAAAGAGCACATTGTAGAATTAGTCTACTAAAAGTATAGCGAAAAACAATTCTTATTTATTGAACAAAGATGTTTGTTAAATATTTTGTAAGTGTTGTGAAAATCTCATTTGCATTTATATATTTTTTGAATTCGAAAAGAAATTAAAGAATTGTACTTTTTTAAGCTTGTTTTTTATTACGGAATGTCTAGAAAACTGTGTTTTTAAGCATAGAATTTGTATTGGTCCAACAAACAAACGCAATATTGAAAATATTCAAATGCGACATCAAAATTAATTTAACGCAATATCAAAAATATTAATTCAAGCGCATCGTTAAATTTATAAGTTTCGATGAGGATGAATTTAGAAAATGATTCTGAGCGAAATTGATTTCAAAAATTCGCGCCCGTCGCTACCAGCGCCATCATCTAACGAATTGAATACAGCAACATTTGCACGGCAGCGTGCACAAGTTTGAAAATCCGTCGCGCTAATGTAACTAAATCAATTCGATACGTTTTGTATAAACTTCATTATAGCAATTACAATAGCTCTTTCACGAGAAATCTCGCCGTATAATGAATTAATCGTCATACATTTCGTTCAATAATTTTGCGAAGCAAAAATAACGTTTTTATCATCACCGCAGTTATACCAATCGATTATTACTTCCTAAAATCTTGAGCATGTAACAACAATATCAATTCGATTCATTTTTCTCACCTCTCTACGTAAATAAAAAAAAAACATCTCGCGGACAAATAATTAACATCTTGATCTCATTTAAAATCACGAGAAAATTTACTTTTGTCGAATAACTCATTATCTTCCAAGTCATAGCAATCGTGACATTTGTGAGCGAACGAGCTGAAGTTGGCCATCCTGCACCATTTTGTACTCGCGTGCCCACTGTTCGTCGCCGCCCGTTCTTGCTGCTAACTTCAGCGTACATGGTTTCAGTTTACAGTGCCGAGACTGTCGAGATTGATCGAGTCTCGGGAAGGCTTGGAAGTGTGAAACGAGTGGGCGAGCGATTTGGATTTCTGTGATCTCGCTTTGATTGAGGATGCAGTCTGATCACGTCGGTCGACGACACGTAGATTGGTAATCGCGATATAGTGTTTTCGGCCTAGGTGTACAACTGTGACGCGCGCATTCTAGCAAATAAGAACGGGAGAGAGAGAGAGAGAGAGAGAAAGAAAGAAAGAAAGAAAGAAAGAGAAAAGGTGGGAGGGAGAGAGAGTGAGATATAGACGAGCGAGGACGGAGCATGCGACCGCGCCTCTGCGACGTTACTCGGCGTGTCGATGAGGATGGGAAGTGCGCCGACGACGACGAGGACGAGGGACATAAGTGAGTCAGGGATAACGTCGTTGCAGTACGTCGTGCGGTGCTGCATCATCATCGCTTAGGAATGGTATCGCCATCCAAGCACCAATATCAGCAGCAGCAGCAGCAGCAGCAGCAGCAACAACAGCAACAACAGCAACTCAGACAACCGTCGAGAGAAAACAAGTTCGATCTGCAACGAAAGTCAGGTAAGTCCTGGAACGAGTAATTCCGTATTGCATAATAACCGCCGTGCCGGCTGTTTAGCCGTTAATGGACATTATGTAGAGACGTTTGCACGACTGTGTTTGACACACGTTACGTGCCTGTCTCTCTACCCAGACACACACGTACATGTACATACACAAATACACGCCGAGGGATCACTGAGAGTACTCGGAGTATCTTTATCGGCGAAGAGACTAAAGAGACGGGTTGTTACGTACATATTGTTACGTGTTGTCACTGAGGAACTCGAGTTGTTTTACAGAAGACCGAGATGCCTTCCAAATTTGTCATAGCTTGGACGCTACATGCAAATTAATGGAATCTTTGCCGATGCTGAAGCCAGTACTCTGAGCGATCACCAGCGTTTCCTTCGCTGTACAGTGCAAATAGTAATGATGATTCATTTTATATATCCCGTCTTATAGTACGTTCTCTGGATGTGAGTAACAAGACTGTTATTATCGCTTGATTAGAGGCTGCACCAATTCGTCTGTATCATGTGATTTGTACAGCGGTTGGTACGAATGTAAGACAGCAACTAAAATATTATAAGTGGACGCTTCTTGTAATGTATTTCTCGGGAAAAAAAAAATCCGTGGAAAATATTTCTAATGCTCTACACGCTCAGTTGATTCATTTGGGATCGATAATAAATTGAAAAAAAAAAAAAGAAAAAAAACTTTGTCACGCCTCAACGCGTCTACAGGTGTGACAAAACAATCATTGGCATTGATCGCAATGAAAAACTTAGTAAGATTTTTAAAACTTTTTTTTTGTAGATATTCGTATACGAAGGGGCCTGCAACCTTTGGAGCAGAAGTCGTTCTATTTGGACATAAAGAACCATGCTATTGCGACCAAGCTAGAGGCACAGATCAGGGAGTTGGGTGGTGTGAGTTTACATTTTCATCTCCCGTTTGTTCGATGCTGCGTTAGAGTAGCTCTGGTAGCCCGTAACCCACGTTTCCCGCTTCGTTTCTAGCCGCTTATCGATTTGTCGGAGCGTTTTGGTGTATTTCGGGCGAGTGTGCGAGCCCCTCTCTCACTTTCTCCACCTGCCTCTCTTTCTGTCTTCTCCCCTCTTTCTTTCCCTCTCTCGCTCATCCCCCCCGTCCCTCCCTCCCGTTCTTCTCTTCCCGCCATTTTCGATCACTATGCCTACGGCCGCTTCGACGTAACGCCCGCTCGAATCTGCGCTCGCTCCCCTACAGAGAGCGCGACGCACACATATACATGTACACGTGCACGTGCACGCGCGCGCGCGAAACGAGAAAAAATTCGAATGTCCGTCTCTTCGCGACCGATGCGCTCTCCGGCCATTCAAACCAACCTCGTTGCCACGCGATATTACGGAGTACGCGCGCGATTATCGAACTGATTTCGGAAACAACTCGGAACGGCAAACTCGATCCCGAAAAGTTTCGCGCACGGACCTTACCAGGTCACTCTAATGACTCGCGAATCTCGCGTGATTTTTCCGAGTTAACTTACTGACAATTTAAATTTACCTTTTGCCCTACTTATGACAGAAAATTATTGATATGATGCATTCACGAGACAACATATTTTTGGTAAAAAGGAAATCGTTTTGTTCTTCTGTTATATATAGTATGTATGTCCTATTTTATATTTATATATATATAAAACAGGGTGTCTCACAACTACCGAATTTTTTCTTAAGGACATATTCCTGAGATAATTTTGAAACGAAAATTCTAATACGAAAATGTCGAGACTATAATAATTTTTTGAATTATAAACTAACTTTAAATGCTTATAAGTAAAAAATCATTTTACTTTTAGAACCTCTATTATTATTTTTGGATTCTTTTGAACATTTTAAGACGAAAATCCTAATACGAAAATATTGAGGCTATAATAGTTTTCGAATTACACACTATCTTTAATTAATTATAATTCAAAAACTATTGTAACCTCGACATTTTTGTATTAGGATTTTCGTCTCAAAATTACCTCAAGAATATGTTCTTAAGAGGAAATTCGGTAGTTGTGAGACACCCTGTATATTCTATTATATATATATAGTATGAAATTGTTAGCAGTACTTTATATATACATATCTCTTATTACAGAAGAATATGCACAGTATTATAAAGGGAATTATCAAGAGACAATTTTTATTTTCGCTTGACAGCTAATCGCGTTTATTTTTACTTCTATTTTGTAACTAGGTCATAACAATACGTAACAGTAACCTCCGATAGAAAAAAATATGTTCGTTCGTTATGCCAAAAAGTTGTGCTATAACTTATCCTCGGTTTGCTAATGTTCGATTAATTCCTCGCAATCTTGACTGCTCCAGTTCATATATTTTTAACGTACTATAAGCTGCATTTAACAAAAAAAAAACAGCTCTGCAACCGTTGTAAAATTCTTTAATATGATTGGTTTATACATATAGATCCAATAAGGAATTAAGGGCAAGACTAATCATGTTAAGGAATTTTACGATAGTTACAAAGCTGCTTTTTCAGCTGAATGCAGCTATTTATCAACATGATCACATTCATATGAATTTTCTAATTTCACACAGACTGTACCAGAATCGTTTTCCATAAACGTTGGCCTACTCGCGCTCATGTGATCCATATGAGTCGCGCAAACCAGTGCCGTGAAGTTGTCT